CACTCTCTAAATTACACTAAAATAAATTTTTCTTTAGTCGAACAACGGATTATTTATTTCTACGTAAAAAATGATTGGAACTATACTGTAAGTAACCCACGTACATTACATTTTCGTATATTTTGAGATAAAAAATAAAAAGTAAATTTCTCCATACAAAAAAATAATATTTTTTTTCCCAAACTATCAACTTTTCAAGAAATTATACAAGAATAAAGTTGTTAGGAATGTTATTAACTATCACAAAAAAAAAATAGCTCGATACTCCACAAGTTATTCCTATGTCCAAGAATTATCAATTTGGCCTACTGTGCGCACCTAAAGTATTCCGCGTGCCTATTACCAGTGGCAGCATACCCATACGCGCATACCCCACCACATAGAAACATTTATTCAAAATATTCACTATTAAACGCGTAATAACTTGTCCCGATGCATCTCGACCAATCAGCGCGAGGTAAGCCGGTGGATCTGCGAGTTCTATTGCATTCGTCAAAATATTCGCACACATTCGCGAAAATCCGCTTTGTCTACATCTAGAAGAGAAGCTATATGTATATATAAGCTATATCTAGAGAGAAACCGCAATGGTTCGAGTTATTGTCGAATAGCATTCACTTAAATTTAAAGCTTACTCCAACAAATCATAGTTCAATTTGTTTTAATGGCAGAATCGTTGCCATATGCCGTATTATAATAGCAAATTAATACAAAATATGGTTAATTTCTATTTTGGAAATCTTAACGATAAATAGTTTTATATACGTATTTATACTTAATTGGGTGTTTCTTTTTAATAGGACTACGCAAAGAATGTATGTATAAGGTCATGGTAATTCGTAGGTAACTAAAGTGTTCGTATCGCGACGGATACCTTAAAATGAACAATTACTATAAAAGCTATGGTTATTTTATATGTAGACTAAGCATTCCTGTGAATTGGACCTAGTATCTTGTGTGCTAATAAGTGTTGCGTTTAAATGTCGCCAAGGCGTCTTTTTAATGGGCAAAGAAATTTTTATTAGTGTTTTTTGTTTTTTCAAAAGTTAAAGCTTCGGCTTTACCAAGGAAAATTTTCACGCCTCGCCACTGTTAGGACATTACTAATTAATTAGAATTCGAGCTGCCAAAAGTTTAATAAATGGTGGGACGGAGTATAGGTATACATTTTTCATTATGTGTACAACTTTTCTACGTTAATGTACCTATCAATGAAAATAATTGTCTATCCAATATCTTCTAAACAAAGGAGCGACTAATTCTAAAATTTTGCGACTAGAACCGACTAATGCACGACTTCTTTCTGGGTGCTATCAGATCTAAGCTAGGAGCTATAGTTCTCGAGATCAATAAATAGTGCCGCTGGAATAAGCTTATTCCTGTGTCGCCAGTAAAACAACCTTATAACTTTTGAACGGCGGACCGACTAAATCTAGTTTTTTTGCGAATTGAACCGGCTAAATTGGGGATTTTTTCTGTCAAGTCAAATTTCAAAAACTGATCATGGTCCCACTGGAATAAGGTACACGGTATTTTGACCAAGTGCAATAGAATAAATTGTTTTGAAACTGTTTTTAATTCCTGAACTGAAAATAGATTTTTTTTGACTAAAAAACTATTTATAAGCAGTTTCGAACGAATATAGACGTTTTAAATATATTGAAATAAAGAGCGCTCGCATGTTTAAGTTTCTATTAAGGTTTTTAATGAATCTTACTTTAAATACACAACACACTTTAAAACTAAATGAAGTCCTTTCTACATAGGATATCATGTGCGATTGACGCCCTTAAGTACAATCAACAAAATAAATAAAACAGAAATAAAATCTTTGTGTATAAAATTTGTTTTCGTACAAAATTAACATAAGCTTTGTTCTTTTTTACAATTAAAGAAAACTACATAATTCCTATCACCATAACGAAGATGAGAGCAAAAAATGAAAACTTAAATAAGAACATTTTGTGATGAAAGTCCCAATTACACAAACCTCGCAAGAATAAATTAAAATATAGATATACAACACAAAAACCTGCTAATGTTCCCATAGTAATTACGATTATACCTAACGCGTTCGATGCGTTTGTCGTGACCAAAAACTTACACTCAGAGCATAGTTGATGTAAAAGTTTGACGACCAATAAACGACTGGAATTTACAGTATATGAACTGGACAAAATCGTTTACACAGGAAACACATGGACATGTGTATGACTTTAGCACTGAACAATCGGAAATAGACTTGAAATACGTACTCCAGAACAATCGGAAATATACTTGAAATACGTACTGAAACTTAATTTTTTTAAGCGCTGTTGTTTTCGGGCTAAGGTTCTACAGTCTCTTCATAGTAATTTTTCCTTGTTTTGGCGGAAAAGGTGATAAGCCCTTCACTTTGGATCAGACAATGCTCATGTTATCAGCAGAAAAAAAATAATATTTTTAAATTTCGTAACACATTCAAAATTTAATTTATTAAGGCGCTTTCCTACCAGCTAAGTGACACGACGATTGAAATTTGTACGGCAAAATTATTAAAAAAAAATTAATAGTTAGTCTCTCTAATCTTAATCAGTAATCTTTGACGGAAATGGTCTGGATTGATGAGGATGTGCGAGTCGAGAATTGAGATATTTATTGGTGTAATATTGAACAATTTTGCTGACTACATAGAATGTTTATTAACTATGCAACGAAAACACGATTCACGCGATGCCTCGCGCGTGTTTCATGATGACTAGTCAATATCAATTATTATTTAAGTATTATTTGAGATTTAAAAAAAATGTCTCTACTGCAAATCATTGCAGAGTTGAATTTTTACAATTTCCAAGTAATTTACTCCATTAGTATTTAAATATTTTTATTTTATTATCCACAAGCTCAGCGCGAGGTCGCGTTGGGTATTCGTATCAGTAGCGGAAATAGGTCTCGCCTCGCCGGTGAAAAAGCACCTTAAGCTTTCACTCAGTTTATAGCTTTATAATATAAAAAGGTTGTTTTGCTATAAAAAAGTTGTACATTTTGTCTTCTTACCTTAGTTTTACTTTTATATAAAATCCTAGCTAGTGTTAATTATGATAACTATTTTGTGCTTCCCGTATATTTTAAAAGTATACATTTCACGTATGTAATCACGTTATTGTAAATATGGAAGGATGGTTTTAATTGACTAATTACGTAATAAAGGTTTAATTACAGTTGAGTGTTGGATCATGGAAAATTTTCCATTTAAAAAAAATCCTATTTTTCAGAAAAATAAATATTTTGCCAGATTTGAAAGTGACAGCTGTCAAAAGTTGAGGATACTAAACTTGTGACAGCTGTCAAAAGTTGAGGATAAACTTTATGAGAATTTGTGAAAATAAGCCAAGTAGGGTTTAAAAAATTACATTTAGCAATGTTTAAACAATTTTATTATATCTAGACGTAGAACATAATATGAGGTTTCGAATTATATTTTTAAAATTTTTCAAAACTCATTCCGAGAAATTTCGACTACGTATTTGATATTTTTCGGAAAATTACTCAACACTACTTATAGATGAGTTACTTTATAAGAAAATTACTTTCTTTGCAAATGATATTCAATTTTTCAATCTGATTTTTTTTTAAAATTTTATTATTAACTGATTAGTAAGAACCCCCAAATCGTTCTCGTAGACTTCCAAGGACGTAGCATAAAACTTGATATTGTATAATTTGGAGAAAAATACCACTTATTACTCTAGTAATTTTCTTAGATGTGAAACGATGTACTAATAATTACTAATAAAAACGGTAATGTAACTTTCTTCTACAACATGGCACCGTTAATGGCTGACTTACACATGCCACTACAATTTACTAGAAACTCCACTACCTACGATCAGTGTTGGGCAAAATTTAATTGTTCTGGCAATTAAAGATTGACAATTGATTAATTGTCAATTGCGAAACAGCAATTAACGATTGATCAATTGTTAGTTGCGAGAACCGCAATTAATCGCAAATAAATACAATTAACAATTAATCAATTTTCAATCTTTTCAATGTTTTTGATTAACAATTAACAATTAAAACTGACAATTATGATAAATTTATACGGCATATGGGGGTGAGTTAGGGCGTTGGTTGTGGGGGCCTGTTGGGGGCCTGCTGGGGGCAGGTTAGGGGGCCAGTTGGGGGCCCGGTTGGGGGTCCCGGTTGGGATCCCCGGTTGGGGGCCCGGTTAGGGGCCACGGTTGAAGGCCCCGGTTGGAGGCCCCGGTTGAAGGCCCCGGTTGGAGGCCCCGGTTGGGGGCCCCGGTTGGGGGCCCCGGTTGGGGGCCCCGGTTGGGGGCCCCAGTTCGGGGGCCCGGTTGTGGGACTCGGTTGGGACCCCGGTTGGGGGCCCCGGTTGGAGACCCGGTTGGAGGCCCGGTTGGGGGCCCCGGTTGAAGGCCCCGGTTGGAGGCCCCGGTTGGAACGCCCGGTTTGGGGACCCGGTTGGGGACCCCGGTTGAAGGCCCCGGTTGGGGGCCCGCTTGGAGGCCCGGTTAGGGGCCAGTTAAGGGGCCTGAGCCCCTCAAACCGGGGCCCCCAAACCGGACCCCCAAACCGGGGCACCCAAACGGGGCCCCCAACCGGGGCCCCCAACCGGAGCCCCAACCAGGGCCCCCAAGCGGGGTTCCCAACCGGGGCTCCCAACCGGCCGGAATTGATTTTAATTGCAAATTTAATTGCAATTAAAATCAATTCAATTGAAATCAATTGCAATTAAATTCAATTGCAATTAAAATCAATCGCAATTAAATCAATTGCGACGCGTCGCAATTGATTTAATTGCAATTGATTTAATTGCAATTGATTTCAATTGAATTGATTTTTTAATCTGATTGAAATTTAATTGATTAACGCCCAACACTGCCTACGATACAATACTCAATACAAAATTCAATCGCAATTAAATCAATTGCGACGCATCGCAATTGATTTAATTGCAATTGATTTCAATTGAATTGATTTTTTAATCTGATTGAATTATTGATTGAAATTTAATTGATTAACGCCCAACACTGCCTACGATACGTTGGGCAGAGGGCATTATACTACAAAAGAAAATAATTAAAAGTATAGTATAAGTAAGATATTGAAAGTAGAATGAACAGATGAAAGTATCCAATCACAAATCACAATTTTCGTTCCAGAGAGTCGTACTAAGTAATAATTTGACCTTCTTCTTTCTGGCTTCACTATCTTACTGTTCTATGAGTAATACAGAACAACGTGGAGGTAGTTCGAGCGAGATTTCACCAAGTCATAATCTACAGTCATGAAGAGCCGACTATATTATAGACTGCGTAAGTCTGAGTATCATAGTCATTCGTGCCCTTGTTGCTTTAGCCTCCACCATTCCTCACGATCCATAGCCAAGTTCGAAGGCATTTCAGATAATAACATGTGTCCTAGGGTGTACGTACTCTTGTCCATGAGAGCTTCTTAGCCCACGGATAATACAAAATTTTGTCGTATTAAAACAAGTATTCTGAATGTTGATTTTACGCATTACTAGACTCAAGTTCGACTCCCGTGACAGTGGTGCTAAGACTCCCATTGACGAGAATGTCTTGCAGAGGCTGCCCCAGAACAGTCGCTAGTGAGTTGCTTAATTTATAGTAGTTACTTTCAAGAGCTTCGTGGTATGAGACTTGGTCGGAGCTGATCAGTTTTGCATTCAGTTGCAATGCAGAGTGACATACCAGCAGGAATTCTCTGTGAAAATAGAGATAAAAAGTTATCAAATTGCCATCAATGCAAAATTTTTTTTCTTCCTTTTTCCGCATGTTTAACGATCTAGAAGAGATTACAAAAATACTCGAAGAATTAAAAAAATAAATATAAACTCACTTGAAAATAGACTTCAATTTGTCTACCATCTCGTCCGGATACATCTGCGCAAGGGCTGGATCCAAAAACGCATTGGCGTACGCTAATGGTCCAGCGTTCACTTGCACACATACGCTGCCCTGTAATCTGAAATGTCCACACAACAATATTGTAAATCTTAAAAAAAAATTGTGACCTTTGACTACGTTTGTTTTTAATTAAATAGGTACGCTAGGTATCTTTTATAGCAGTAAAATACACGACGCCACAAATTATTACATGGGTACTATTCTATAAATGAATTTTAGTCACAACTCAGGATCACGTTTATTCATTAAACATAAAGTACAAGAATTAATTTTTCAAGTTTCTTTGCTACACCCTGACTGGGACATGGTCATGCAAGATTTTATTATAAGATTTTTTTAATGTACATGTCCAATCTGAAATAAAATAAATAAATAAATAAATGAAAGTATTCAAATATTACCGACTTACACTGAACATTTTGATTTGGTTAAGTTTTTACGACGCATGTCAGGGTTGCAACTGTAGTAGAATGTTTAGTGAAATAATATAGTTTCGCTTTCCAATTATGGACTCGTAAAAACATAGGAACATTCTGATATGTCATCAACACAATGCGGGCGAGATTAAAGCAAACGATGAATGAATTTAATACGTTAATCGCCTATGGAAAATTTGTAAAATTTTAACTTAGTTTCCCTTTGTGAAATTAAAAACTAATACGATACTAAAATAGTTTCTTGTTATATTTGAATTATATATTATAATAACAGAAACAATATTATAGGACGCATGATCGAGAGGGACTTTGCACTCAACTTGAACAAAGATAATGCCAACGTCTCATTTTCGTGGATGCCCTGGTTCAAATCGTTAAGTTTCATGATAAGAATCGTATGACTGGATCGTACGATACTTTTACTAGAGCGCGAAGTTTGAACTGATGTTATGAATGCAACTACTTCTATAATAATAAAACGACGCTTAACTAATGCGTTGTTTTTGTTTTCCCTAATTAATTGAAGATAACTGTATGTACATACAAAGGATTCTTAATAGTACAATTAAAAGATTGAACTTGATGAACTGAAATATTAATCATGCATTTTACATTATTAATTAAAGTGGTTCTTGTTGCGCAAGAAATCGCACGTGAAACCGAATTGTCGTAATTAAAAATCATGATTTGAAAGTATCAATACATTTATATTCTCGTTTATAACTGGATAACTAATTATTATATATAAATAAAAATAATCTCATTATTCCCATTAATTTTCACTTAAGTCCATCATTTTCGAGTAACGACAATTATTGCGAACGCAACAGAATTTCGAATCTTAATTTAACGTAATTTTCCAACCAGTAACTAAAGGCACATTACATAGGCCGGGAGTTCTATTTTGAACCAATCAACTAACACCACATACATGTTATTTCATCCCTACCACATATTTAACGATCTTTTTGTACGAAGTAAATAAGGTCAAAAAGGACGTTCACTTTTGACTTTCATAAGAAACCATCTACAATGGCACTGCTTCTGTAAACCAGTAACATATTGCCAATACATTACAGTCAACTTAAATCGTCTTTGATTTTACAAGCTCGTCGAGATCCATCTTTTACTTGGGTCTGGAGGCTACAACAGTTTTGTTTTAATGTGCAATATATTATGGAGATATCTGCAAAAGTAGACATTACAATATTTTCCAATATTTTACAAAGGATCTATTGACGGACCAATAAAGATAATTATGTTAAAGAAATGAGTTACCCAATAACCTAGTTTACCTGGGTAAACATATTATTTAAGTATTTCAAAGTTCCCTTAAAATAAAAAATGTATATGTTTCCATCTGTTCGACTGCCTTACCTCAACTGTAATTTCTTGATGTCAGGTGCTTTAGCGTTGATGATTTCCGTAATTTCAGCCACCTGGCTCTCCATCTCTGACACTGCAACTTCAATGGGGCTCTTTTCTTCAACCTGCGTCTCTATCACCGGCACGCGTCGCTTCACGTACGGGAACCAACTTTCCGCTATTACGATAAAACATCCAGTTAGTACTCCTATTATCTCAGCATACTAAACCTATTAATATTAGCGTGATAACAATAGGTTATAATTACAAATTGTTTCCTTTTAAAAATCATGTATGAAAAAAAGAATGTTTTCGGAAGTTTATTTCGTGGAAAAGATACATTGTTACGAACTCTAATGAGTTATATAATATATATATATATAAATACTTTAGCCAAATTCGATGTAGAATAAATGTCAACAAACAAAAATATCAATGTTAGGGTTTTCACCTTTGATTGTTTTACTATTACCATAATTTCACTATTCAGTTTCGATTAGGATAAACTAATTTTGAAGTCTGCGATGAATTTTGCTCAATAGAAGTTTCAAATCTAGTGAGTAAGAGATTTTTGAACCCAACATAAAAATTATCAGCAATTAATTATTCATATGTGTCCTACATATGTATATTCCTGATTGATTCTTTGATTTTTAATTCGAAGAAAGAGATTGCCAACATACGAGTTCGAGAGTAATTCAGAATCGGAAATTGATGCTTGATATGTAGTAAATTAAATTAAAATAACATTTTATAATTCAAATAAAAATATAATATAAAATCTTTTCATCTATCATTCATCACTTTCTAATTAGGAATAATGTCGAGGATAGTGCAAATCCGCCTATGTAGTATTGGTAAAAAGCGCGTTTATGCACCAAACCAAATTTCACAGCAGATGGATTTAACGTTATTATTTATGCGTTATTACTTTGTTATTTCACTGCCTACTACCTTGATTTTTGCACAGTAAGCATTAATTTATGTTGTCTACAGACTGATAACAATAGATTCCCGTAAATCACGCTAATTTCGTCCCCACGACATTTACGCGGATTTGATTTGGCGACTAAATTACCGAAATGGAGATTCATAATCAAATGCTTGAGTCTAACTGCACTATCCCCGACGACAAGTTTTTAATACTAATAGGTATTCTCTTTGTTCATAAGTAATACGTATCAACAGGTTCTTTGTAATTTTTTATTAAAGTATTTATTAAAAATGTAATTACTTTGTTCGTAAGTCTCTCGTTAGAGACCCTTTTGGTTATCTTTTTTGCAGACGGGTGTGTGGCGAGCTATATAATATATTGAATATGTGTAATGTTTATATACTACTAAATATATATGTGTGATATTTGTATTATGATAACGTTTGCTTATAATTGTTTGTAGGTTTAGCACTAGTATTGATTAAGTTGTAATTTAGATATTCAATTGTGAAGGTTTGTAATAGGCTTTCCGTTGTTATTTTGTGTTATATATCATTGTTTAAGCTGTAAACCTTCCTAAAATAAATAAAATAAATAAAATAAAATAAATAAAATAAGTAATACGTATCAACAGGTTCGTAGTATTTTTTAAAAGTATTTATTAAAAACTTAATTACTTTGTTCATAAGTAATACGTACCAACAGGGTCTTAGTAATTTTTTATTAAAGTATTTATTAAAAATTTAATTACTTTGTTCGTAAGTAATACGTATCAACAGGTTCGTAGTATTTTTATTAAAGTATTTATTAAAACATAATTACTTTGTTCATAAGTAATACGTATTCACAGGTTCTTCGTAATTTTTTATTAAAGTATTACTTTTACAAAACCTTTATTTTAAACTGCAATTACGTAACCCAATTACTTACTTATTTAAATTCTAATTAAGCGAGCAGGCAGCGGGTAGAGCAAGCTTTAATAATGAGCATTGCTAAAAAATGTTCTTTTCCTATGCTATCATTGTTTATTGGTTCCCGTAAACACTAGATATAGCTATTGTAAAAATAGAAACAAAACGACGAAAATGTTCGACGAAAACGTATTCTTACCAGTAAGGTGCGTAAGTCGAAGCCTTTGGTGGTGCACAGGGCCTCGGGCAGCGCCGTCTCTTGTGAATGGGGTCTCGAAGACGAATCGACGTACGTTGTGGGCGCGCTCGAAGGAGCCCTCGTTGGCAGAGCTCGCTGTGACCGCGCCTTCCGGCGCTGCGCGAACCCAAGTTACTTGGATGTATGCTAATTTACTGTCTAACTCCTCGCGATTCACCTGTATTGAAATGTAAAATGTTTTATTACGAATTTACTATAAAATACCCAGACAACATTTGAACAACTATTAAAATACATGTTCAAAGTCAGCACACAACTCTATTTTTTTTTACGTGATACAAACATACCAAACACCATATTTAGTTTGACTTAGTTTGAATTATTTAAAATGGTTTTGTATACTCCATAAAAGATTCAAAAAAATCCTTTGTGATACATTTAAGAACTCAATAATATTATTATTTATATTAATTATAATGGTTTCATATTCATTTTGCTTTGTTATAAATCGTTACTCTATGATACAATGTTCTTGTATCCATATATATATTTCTATTGTGCACAATACAATTTATAAGACATTGAGAATTTAAAAAAATGTAACATAAGCATAATCTATGTTTAAAACACGTGTGTGAACTAGTAAAAAAAATATAGTTCATTAAAATAATCAGTAATGTTGAAAAAGTACGACGCATGATTAATCATGGTAGCCAAATGAACCATGAAATAGTAAAAAATTATGAGTATTACTGATATGATGAGATTTAAATCCGGAAAAATAGTTTCATTTCCTATGAGTATTACTGTTAAATATCACTATTATAATTTAATAAAATGGTATGACTTGATAGTTTCCTCACATGAAAGCAAAACTATATTGTGAGCGCTTTATAGAAAGAGCGTAAGCGACATTTCGAAACATTTTTCGGGAGATGTTTTAGGTTTTAATGACTGTTTTAAAATATTCTGGTCCCGTTTTAAAATTAAATTGTGGTTTTAATTAAGTTTTAAAATCGAATTTAAAATAGAACGTAATTATTTTAAAACAGTCGTGGATACCCAAAACATGCTCCCCTGAAAAAAAATTCGAAATGTCGCTTACGCTCTTTCTACAAAACATCGACGTATAAGTGGGTCACTTTGTAAAGTAAGCGTGATAGTGGTACATGTCATTGTAAAATACTGACCGGAGCCGAATCCATAATCATCTTGACATGTCCGGTGCCAAATTTTTGTTCATAGAAAGTTTGAAGCTTCTCAGATATCTCACTTAGTGACGTCAACTTCGGTTCCTTATAAATAAATTCCATTCCCTCTTCGTCTTCTCCGAAATGCGCTTTTCCAAAGAATGCTACTCGGTAAAATCTTCCAAGAAGTCGTTTCCCCGAATTAGTAACTTCGATAACTTTGGCATATGCTTTGGTGAGATGCTGATAACACGTGAGCAGAGCCTGATAATCTTTCCTACGTTCGTATATAGGGATTATGAGTCTGTACAAAGGTCCAAGTAGTTCATATCGTTCTGCCTTGTCAACGAATTCTGTGCAGACAAGTAATTGATCAAGTAGGGCTTGTTCGCTGTAGTGCACATCGCCCATTCCTGAAAAAGATTTAGCGGGTAAGATATTTCAAGTTATCTTTATATACAACATATTATAACTTATAAAAAGAACCGACCTCAAAAGTTCATGGAATTACATCTATTTGCCAGGTTTCACTGAAATCGGTTACCGGAAAGGGCGCGAAACTGGATTCATCCCCTAGTTTGCCACCCTTTGAAATGGAATATTTTCTTCAAATTTAAATGGGACCAACACCGAGGTACCCTCTTTTCAATAAAAAAAGGAACTATCATAATTGGTTAACAAATGACAGTGAAAAGGGGGACATAAAAAAACAGTCGAATTGAGAACCTCCTCCTCGTTCAAGTCGGTTTAAAAATGAACAAATGATAAGTATACGAACAAAAACAAACAAACGTGTGAAAATTCAATTTATTACAAAACAAACACCTAGTTGCAGAAACGTTCTTTAAATGTAATGTTCCTTTAACTAAAATTCTGTTCTCCATCAACGCTTAAAATTAGTGGATGCTAGTGTAACTCAGCGATAATAAGATACTGATTTTCAACAATCTTGTTACGGAGCAACAGAATAATTTAAACATTACATAAAAATGAATGCGAATTATAAAAATGTAATTCTTTTTATGATTACCTAGTTCTTAGGTTTTCGCGATTGTTACACATAGGAAGTGAAATTATCGATAATGAACCATTTGAAATGTTGAACCGTATGAAACCGTGAAAAAACAAATAAAAGCGATTTAGATCCGAAAAATAGTTTAATATTCTTATGAATTCTGATATTTTCTCTCTAATTCATTGTCTTTTTGGAAATGACTGACTGAGTTATCCGTGACTATAGGACCCGTTAAGGGCCCAAAACGCTGATTCGTCTGAAAAAACAAATATACGCGATTTAGATCCGAAAAAATTGTTTCATTTCCAACAGAAAATCAGCGCAAAATGATCGAATGACATAAACTCATTCGATTAGTCGAATTCTTTCCAGCAAACCAAGGTCCGTCAAATTCAACAATTTCCGTCGAACGTATATACCTTTATTCAGCATATTGCAGCTTCATTTATCTGGTACGTGTATAGCTAAATTGAATGAAAATAAACTAAATTGGATGAAATTGACAAGAAATTATCAGCAAATTAATAAATAAATAAACTGACTGATGTCGGTTACGGTAGTACGGATGATAATACTGATAATGTTAATAATAGTATTTCATGGTGCTGAAGCCCATTTTCGTCGCCCAGCATTTTGCGCAGTTTTACTCTAACATTTGGATGGAAATCTATTTGATGGAAAGATATTAACAATTTTATTTGCGTAAACGGTGATCAAGGGACGCGTTACTGCACCGTGTACCAATTTGATTATTTTGTTAACAAATTTATAGTTCATTATCAACATAATTGAAACGATCCATCATTATCACGTTAATTTGTCCAAACTGGCTGTGTGCTAGTTTACTCAAACTAGCTTGCGCAAATTTGCTCTAGCTATGTTGCGATAGTTTGCTCAAATTAATTTGAGAGCAAGATTGCTAAAAATGGCTTGAAAACTTTGTGTGGTCGAGTGTTGTAGATATGCAAGTTCACTTGCGCTGTAGTTCGATTGTGAAGACGGATTTTTAAGTAGAAGACTGCAAACGTTTGAAGTCGATCGGAAAAAGTTGAGATTGAAAAAATAACTGGAAAAAACTCAAGAAACAAATAATTTTTCCGTAGAAAATTGCTTCACTGTCTGAATGATCGGTATAGTAATATTTTTTTCTATAAATTTCTTTTTTATTTGCGGTACCAAAAAACTATTTTAGAAAATTTCAGTCTTCTACCTCATACCATGTATATGTCATATCCCTCCATACCAATTAAAACGTAACCCTATCACATTGTTTATTGTCAGCATAATAGCAAAATGAAGAATACGAACTTTGCTTTGTTACGGAGTTTGATTGATGACCTTCACTGATGAATTCACATTCAACATCAAATTCGGTGATAAAGTAGTTCATATTATTTCATAAAAGGGTAAACTAAGGTCTTATTATGTCAGCAAGTATCATAGAGAACGAAACGATGGACTCATTTCAAGAACATATTTGGCTAATGAGATACAAGTGAGATCAAGTGACTCCCCATGACCGAAAATGGCAGTGTTAGCAGTTCTTGAAGCTATGTACAGTCCGAACGAGTAAACGTGGATACGAGATCTTAATTGGCAGCCAGTGCCCTACATTCCGAGAAAGACAAAGTTAGTACTTCTTATCATTCGATTAATGTTAATAATTATAGATGTATTGTCTCAACAAGCCATCGTATTTAGTTCCTGAAATAAAAACATTATTTTGAAGATATGGCTCAGTTTGAATCCAGATTAATATTACTGAAATATACCTAACAATGTACATGTCAGGTACAGATATTTATTTAGACTATTTGACCTTGCTAGTAATTGTATTATTCAGTTGGTGTTTTAGAAGAACTGTTCCAAATAGCTTATTTTAAAGGAACATCAATAGGCACACCCTAAAGGAAAACAACTAAAGTAAAAAAAAGTTATTAAAAAATTTTTTCAAGAATAGTAAAAGAACTCGTCTAGTCTTAGTACACTGCTACAGGTGTGGTTTCTGGAGAACCTTTTTTCTATGATACTAAGTGATGAGACGAACAAGTCGAGCACCTGGTGGTAAACGACACACCTGTCTATAACAGTTACAGTGCCACTCAGAGCTTTAAATCGCAAAGGTCAGAGGTGCACTGCCTCTGCGCCCATCACCGTGAGACATCGTCGAAAGTCGAAAAGTCCCATGTGCCTGTAATTTCACCAGCACCCTTACCCTTCAAAACCGGAACGCAGTAATGCTTACATTACTGATTGGCGGCAGAAGTAGGTAAGGTGGCAGTACTTCCCTGGATGAAAACTATTTCGTCTCCCCGGCGGGCCCAACTAACGCCTGATATAAAAGCAATTTCTAAAATCGAATTCACTGCGCAAATCTTCGAAGAATTGCTAAGATTCAGCGCAGGTATGGCATTGAAGTAGAGGAGTGAAATGTAATCTTAATATCAATAAATCATATACATTGACCTTTTTGATGATTACATAAGTTATCATATCACATATATAAAAAAAAAATTGAGTCTATTAACAATGAGTACTTTTTCTTAGAAGTATTGATGAATGTGATAGTGAATGCATCAAACGCTGCTGTGTTCGGAAAGATTTACCCCAAGTTGCGGATATATTCTGCCCATGAAACTAATATGTCTGCTCTAATGATGTCTGCAGGAGTGTTTGAGCCACATCAGCCGCCTAACGGATCTATGTTCTCATTGGAACTAAGGATGCATCGACACACTGGAGAGTATGGAATGGCGACAATAATCGGTCTGTATTTAGTAATGTTTGAAATCGAAGTGATCTGTGAAATTGTAATAGGGTTGAAAATCGAATAGGATGTCAGCCCTGATTGCGGGTGGCATGCATCAACTGTCTATAACTTTCTTTACAATTCACAACTGTCAATTACTTCACCTATTGTATAGTAATGCAGAAAAATTAAAATTTGAGAACATCACATATGTTTCTTTGACCCCAAGTAACTAAGTTGTGTTATAGAAATAGGAAACAAAGACGGTACCACAAACACCCAGATCCGAGACAATATAGAAGAGTTAGATTTTCCACATTTACCCTGGACCTCAGAGATGACAATGTGAAAACCGGTGCGGTAGATATACTGTAAATTCGAGATAAACAATTCTTCTCGGGAAGAATTTTTGTCACTTATGCGAGTACGCGACCTTTCAAGGTTTACAGAGACAGAATGTTAATCATAAAAATTGCATTCAGTTGTGTTTATATATCGAAAAAAATGAACAGAAATGCAATGAAGTGACAATGCTGTGATAGCCTCTTGCGTAGAAATAGGCAGTTATTCTAAGTCTACATATATCCTCCTAAGGCCCCGTGTACATCAAAATGCACATAATATGTGAAATAATTCAGTCTCAGGCAGTATTATTTCTATGTTCACGTAAACGCTCAGTGTGCATTATAATGAAAATATCACATTTAAATTTAGTGCCATAATTTTCTACATGATCATAGTTACGGATGGTTACCATGCTGGGCTACCACTCAGAGGTCCTGGGTTCGATTCCCGGGCCGGGAGAAATATATGCCACTAAAGCAGGTATCAAAAATTATTATGCACGATTGTAGACTTTGTTAGGAGACGATTCACTGTTTCAAATGCATCAAAACTACACAATCGTCTTATGTGGTACTAGAATGTTAATAAATTCGTTGACCGTTGTCATCCCGTTGGGTGTGATGATAATGACAAGGAAGTGTTCACCTTAAAGACGGTAGGAGTAGCAGTGGTCGTATTTTTATGAGGCTATATAAATGGAGGAGAGGCGATGCGCGGTGCAGTCGAAAACAGTTCGCGGTCGCGCGCGCTGATAACGCCGTCCGTTACCTCATCATCTCTGTTGCCGGGAGAGAAAAAATGAAGATCGCAAAAATCTCACTATTACTGAGTTTGATGACTGTCACAGGAGCCGAAGAATCTTCGGTGGAAGAAGAATTGGTGCAATCTTTACATTCAGTCACAACAGATGGTGCTTTAGATAACACTGATTTAGTGCTTGCTTTTGTGGTAGGTCCGCTTATAGTTAGTATAAATAAGGGCTGATGAGGTACTAATAAAGACATTCAGTGTTGGAAGTATGACAAAGAAGTGTCCAAAGAAGTGATTTTACTATTATAACGATCACTAGTGACATGCATGCTCAGCTCTCGACTATTTCCTATACGAATAATTCATTCAACAAAAGCGACGGATCAGTCGACCGTGACATATCGTAGTTCAACCGAATGTTAATTAACTAATTTCTGTTATCAATCAGTTTCAAATGAAACGAGATTTCTTATCAGTACTAAAAAACGTAATGGCAAAGTATATACACAGACGACGTTGCACAGGTGTTCCGGCATGGAGATCGCACACCTGATCACGAAGAATTGGATTTAATGCCTTCTCCAAACGTAAATTGGACAGAAGTTTTATTTCCTTATGGGATGAAAGCATTGACTAATGTGAGTATATAACTTTTTTTGTTTTAGGCAGCATTTGGCAATGTTCGGTGTTTTTTATTACAAATTACTTGCTCTATTCGTACACGATAATTCCGTCTTGTAACGTAGAAACATTTATTTATTTATTTATTTATATATATTATGATCATTCTCGGACTAGTTCACTACCTAATTTTCGTGGGAATTTTTATTACTTTACGTATTCGTATTCGAGTACTGTATCGTGAAATATTATTTAATAATTATAAGATAATATACTTGAATAAATAATGAAACTTGTCACGGAAATTAAGTAGCGAACATTAGACTGAGAATGACTGTTTAAATACTTGAATTCGCTTTTCAATAGAAAAGTTAGGTAGTACTCTTCATTGGTGGTGAGTTTGTGACAAACGAAGGCTGTCAAACAAACAAACAAATCAAATCGTACAAATATTTAACGTGTACAATTCATAAAACGGTTTATTTTACAGAAAGGTAAACAAAGGGGTTATTATGTCGGTAAGTATCTTAGAAGTCGTTACAATGGTTTCATCTCGAGTATGTATTTGCCTGATGAGATAGAAGTAAGGACGACGGATTTCGCACGAACAAAAATGACAGCGTTGACACTCCTGGCGGCTTTGTACCACCCCCCGCCGGCGCAAAGATGGCACTCTAATCTTAATTGGCAACCAGTGCCCTATAACACTCTACCCCATGATGAAGATGACGTGCGTACTTTCTTTATTAACAAGACAAAAAGCATACTTACACTTTTAACTTATGCCATACATAATGCAAAATATTAAAATTTAATAAAATTTTGCTTTTTCTTTGCAATTCTCACAGAAAATGTTTTTGTTCTACATATTTTTAAAGATTGTTTTGACGTCTTTTCAGCTTTTGTATTGGTACAACTGCCCCAGGTACCTTTGGCTTAGAAACAAAGTTTATAAAGAGCCTGAAGTAAAGTTGCGGATAAAGCCATACCAAGCATTATTTACAGAATTGGGTAGAAGAACTGGCACTAATATTACTACACCTGAGGACGTGTTCTATTTAGATAATTTGTTTCAAGCTCTTGTACGTAAATTTTGAATAAATATGTCGCATACATGTAGATACAATATTACATTTTTCGTACTAAGATTGTTTCAATGATTGCAGGAAAATGTCGGATATCCTCCACCTTTATGGGCCCAAGAGTTGATGCCTCAAATAAAGGAAATGACTAAAATAGAGTACGCTATAGAAAATTATAACGCGGAAATGATAAGACTGTCTGCTGGTAAGGATTAATAATACTGTAATAAAGCCCAATGAATAGTATCGTGACAGTAAGTAAAAAAATGTGTACAGTGAAGAATATTAGAATATGAATTAAATTTTCACAGGAGTACTAATGACTGAGATACTGAACGCATCGAACGCTACTGTGCGCGGAGAAGCCGTGGAGCCAAAATTGCGACTATATTCCGCTCACGAAAACAACGTGGCCGCCATAATGGCGGCCGTAAGAGTTTTTGAGCCACACCAGCCACGATACGGCTCTACATTTTCTTTGGAGTTGAGGTTGCATCGCCATACTGGACAGTATGGAATGGCGGTAAAGTTCTTCGTTGTTAAAACATACATATCTGTAAGTGTTTGAAAGGTTTACAGCCAATTAATTTCTTTTACAGGCCGTGTATTCTCCGACAGCGGGGGGGCCAACCAAAATACTACCCATAGCTGGCTGCGGTGGAGGTGAAATATGCGATTACGAGGTCTTTTTAGCTATAACGCAAGAAGCTGTTTTAAGTAAGGAGCAGTTTAATAAAGAGTGCCCTGTAATAAATTGATGAAGATGTACGGACAACAGCACATCATTTTTGTTCGAAAATCGCCTCCATTGCAACGGAACAAGATACGTCAATGTGTAGCTTGATGTGCTGGCGTGTGTACATCTTCCAAAAAATAGTTAAAAGCGTAAAAGCGCTTTAAACTTCTGGGTTGGGATGCGAAAGTGGATCGCATTCTGATTGTCTCGAAAGGAGACCGAAAAAGTGACAACATAAACACAATTACTTCCTCCGACGCATAATCAGTCAACCATACAAAGTGGTCAAACTTTTCTTACAAATAGATATCTGTTTCAAGATGTTCTTCTTCTTGTAACGCGTAAACACGTCCTTTTTAAGAGTTTTCCTAAACGACTGTGGCAATAAGTAAACTTTGATTTAGTCTTCTCTAGATCTCGCTTACAATTTTTGTATTTCTATTAATTATGTATGTACATACTTATATTACAGCGTGTTTAAAGTTTGTGTTAATGTGAAATGTACAAATACATCTTTAATAAAGTTAGAATAAATAGAGGCTGTGATTTAAACTACTTCGTTTGATTTACCTGTTGAGACTTTATTAATTATACACGTTAGACGTGAGGTAAGCCTGTGCTTAAACATACAACATTTCAATCATTCATAACATTGCAAGTGAAAATGAATTTATTTGAATGGAATTGAAAATAAAAATCATTAATCAAAAGTTATACGAATTTTAGAAAATTGTTGTACATTATGACAATAACGCCCATGGTTTAAGTATCTTCTAACATCGTACTATATTGCTCAAATATAAATAATTACACAATGATTAGATAGTAAATTTAAAGAGATTGCGCTATAAGTATTAGAAATAACAAGATGTTACTACCTCATCCTCGTACATTGTTTTAGTTACATGTGTGATATTATTAACAATGTTTGTGTGTAAAGATATAGCGCTATTATGGTAAACCTAACTGGTATTTGTATCCAGTAAGTAGTTTTTCTTTATCTTATAATAAATAGACAATACGTGATACTAAATGATTCTAGATATTAGGTCACACAAGATTTTTAATGGAAATGAGAACATGTAATGAGGTATTGTGTGCATTTGAAATGCATTTACAGTATACAAAACGCGTGCGCAGTCACGTTACCGGTAATACGATCATGATTGAATCTGAAGTTTTCATTCAAAGAGGCAATGACGTAGACAAGGGCGTTACCAGGAGTCGATTCTATACAAATGGCGCAGTGCCGGACGATGCGCGCGAGAGTTGAATAGGTACCGTAGCACAATCGATTGGACAAAGTCAATCATATGAGCGGGCAGGTCGCGGCGACCGTGAATTTAGCCGAGCGTCCCGAGCAAATCAGTGGGACCCTGCCTCGCGCGCTGTCAACTTCCTGCATCGCGTCTTTCCGACCTCTTTAACTCCCGTGTTGCAAAGTGTACTTTGTGATTTCATGACACGATTGTAAGCCCGACGCGTATGCGTCTCCAATGTGACTAAGACGCGACCCAGGATTGTGTCACAATGTAGAGCTGTCGACTCGGCAAAGGAAAATGTAAGTTATATTATTCGACTCGTTTTCGAGGTATTACCGTGCAAACCAATCTTTTTCCAGCAAGATTTGAAAAATAATTCTTTAACACGTTTTATTGGTGTTAGTTTATTTATATTAATGAATTGTGACATTTACTTTACTTTTGGTGTAATGTTAGAGATGAGGAACATGCTCAAATCAATCAATAAATAATTAAATTGATATACATACAGTGTCCGTTAGTACCAATTAAAACGATCAACGATAAATAGTAAGCAAAAAAATATCAATAAAACGTTACGTCATAAAAAAAAAACAGATATATCAGTTATTAACTCAAATTCGCACATGTTTGATTTATGAAAATATGGTATTTACTGTACTCTGAAATTGTGTGTGTGTTGGATAATTTCTGCATGGTTACGTTTAATTATTCATACTTTTTCATCGTATTAACATTCTGCCATTAAAAAAAAATCAATATTTGAAATCTACACTCATAGTTGAACGTACCCTGAAATATTTTTAATGAAAAATCGAAAGTCAAAAATAAAACTTTTTAATTTCATTTTATTGGGCACAATAGCTTCCTAATTAGTAGTTTCCAATATAAAGCTAACTAGTGGCATGACAGTTGTCTACATTTTAAAATAAAGTGACAAGTTCATATCACATATCATAAACAATAACCAGTACTAAGGTCATTTCATTAATTAAGCAAAATAACACAATGTTCGGAATTAGACGGACAACTGATACACTTTTATGAAAGAAGGAGAATAAAATAAAGTGAAGTGTAAGAAGACGTAAACGTAAAAACTGTATTGTAGTACACTATGTATTCGTCTGGAAAAACCCTTGCTCTGTCTATGTGTTAGACTAGTAGATAAGCTATGAATTATAACAACGCTCTAGATATATAGGGCTCAGTACCTAGGCATGTTTTGACACACACAAAACTTGTTACTCTAACTGTTAAGCCTTGACAGGACTGGCATGTTCCATGGGACAAATGTGCTAAAATTATATAAAGATCAAGAACAAAGTAAGCCTTATAATCTATATCTTAACGGTTGAATAATTTTTGATACTGATTACTGTATGTTTTAATTTAATCAGTAATAGATAAATGTAACTCAGCGCTTTATCTTGCTATTTAGAAATGACGATTAGTGTTAATAGTGAAACTGATTGACAGGAAAGAGGGCGGTCGCGAGGAGGAGCCGACCAACGCGGCGGACACCGCGCACGCGGCACCGAGCATGCGGACAGAACACACCTGTTGCTGCCTCGGCGTGTTGGTGGGCGTCTCGCTCATCGCCGGTAAATTATTATGCTATAAGGTTCATTATTTACGAAAGTGAAAAGGAAAGGTTAACCGTCGCCTTAGTGAAAACGCGTTTTCACATAATTTGTTTTTACTGAATTTTGTTGCAGATAAAAATTATAAACTTCTTGCTCAAATATATTATTAAAGTAATATAGTATCTGAAAGAGGTATAATTTAACTAATTAAATTGCTAGCTACAAACATTACTGCGTATACTACATTTTACACCACATTTTTATCTTCGTCCTGAAAAATTACATAGATATCTCTGTAATTTTTCTATGTAATTGTGATATCACAGACGATGTATTCACTCTGAGACGACGATATGTCAAAACAACACATTCTTTTTTATTTTTAATCACACCTTTCTACATTTTAATGGAGAATAGCTTTACAGACAAGAATGGTGCATGTTTACTTCTCGTAAGTTTTAAAGATGCAAACCTTGAATCTTTTCCAGATTACAGAAACGTCGCTGCATTTTGATTGAAGTTTACTACGATCGCCAATAAGCTTTGTAAGAGGGTAGCGATCGAAGTTTAATTTGTTTTTGAAACACTTCTTTGTTCAAGAGCGGAGTGCTGCGTCCTTATCAATTATACGCTAATGTATAATATGGATAAACAATTACGGTTATATTATAAAAAAACGGGTGTGACATGTATTAAACAAAAGGATGTAAAGGTCTAATGGATGGAATGAAAATTAATATTAGCAACACTGGTAGAATTGGAATGAAGGGTTTTTGATAGTTGCGAGTGTCTCCCATCGGAAAAATTACTTATTTTCTAACGTATTGATTTGTTATACCATGAATCATTAATTTATTCCAGCATATTTCTAATTGTATATTGTAATCTTTCTTAAATAAGAGATTTCAAATTGAGATTACCAAACGAATTGACGTTCTTAATTTTTTAATGTCATGTTAGGAGATTCTGTAAGAGTATAAATTATTTTTTTACAGCCCTCGTAGCTGTGATCCTGATGAAGGACACAACAGTCGAAATAACTGTACTTCGGCAGGTTCATGTGGTAAGTTAAGCAAATAATTTGCCAGAGTAAATTAATAAATTAATTTATTTAACTTATATTTAAACCGGTAAATAATCAGCCAGTCCGTAATCCGTTGAAAATTTTATTTGTACTTTAGAAGTATTCTTAATATCGCAAATTCGTTGCCATACTTCGTCTTCGTTTTCCTGTACTTATCCCACTTTTGGTGGGACCGGCATAACATGTATTTTTCTAATACTATTGACATATAGTTTTAAGTCTTTTGAGCCTTCGACTGCGCCGATTGTCACCATTCAATCCAGATATCCAGAAATCAGCAGTGCTGATTTCTGTAGTAGAAATAGGCAGGGTGTTGTTACTTCGACAACCTCCGTGGTCGACGACATCAGTTTTCTTGTTGTCGCCATCTCCGAGGTTCCGGGTTCGAATCCCGGCTGGGTCAAACGTAACTTTTCCATGCTGGTTGCGGTACCGTCGTTAATTCAGATTTCTATAACGTAAGTGCTTTAGTTACTTTCTTTGGGATCACAGCAACGTATGTGATGTTGTCTAATATTTACTTACCTAGGCGGGTACTGTAAACACAGAGAAACTTATCACCAGAAAAAAGTTTATTATAAAAAAAAAAACAAATTTAACGCGTAAGTCTACGTAAACAAGCAAAAAAAAAAATGTTTAATTTGTGCAGAAATGACAATTGTTACTCAATCTACTCAACTCAATTAAGTAATCTTTTCCTTCTCAGTTACTATCGCACGGCGAGCGTACACCCAGTGAACACGAGTTAGCGATGTTGGGGGCTGACCCGCCGGATCACGTGTTCGCGCCCTATGGGGCCGGGGCTATGACCAATGTAAGTTCTCTTTCTCAATATTCTTTAATATAACTTTAATTAGTTGTATTAAAAACATTGTGTGCATGTGTCCATGGCATCCGCGACACAGGATTTCCCTAGTGGCGGGCTACGAGCGTGTGCGTTATTATTATTATTATCAATTCACCAGTCTGTAAAGTATTAATTGAAAAAGTGTGAAATCATTGCAATTCACCAATTTATGAGGTCATTACAGTTTTCGCTTTAACTTCATTCTATAAATTGCAATACTTATTAGGTGTTTTGCAAGATTTCTCGTTCAGAATTAGAATGATGAAGATAAAGTTTTGTGTCGTTCCCATACCAATAAAGGCGGGTTTGATTCATCATCTTCATCTCCTTCTTGTATTGTTGAAGTGTGTCCGACGTTTAGGTTTGGAATCTATCTCATCATTAAAAAGTGCGGATTCTTAATGTACTTGAGCCTTTACAAATGTTGAACTATAATGTTTAAGGAGTCATAAGGAAATAGTCCCATTCAATACAAATAATATCCGTTCGTATAAGTTCTTCCAATGAAATACCGGAAATAAAATTGGTGACTGTATAGTCAATTTATATTGCGAAATTAGTTTGAATAGAGAACATGGGAAAATGACATGATATTTACAATAGGGCCTTTGTACCGTATTTCCTCGATTCATCGAATTAGATCCGGTTAGTTCGTAACTAATCATTTGTACTTTTTTTTGGGAGTTTTTGCTAATAAGAATAGGGGCCGCATTTTATGTCAAACGAGAACCAAAAAAGAGTAGGAAAATAGAAACACAGGTTATCATCAATTATAGGACTAATACGTACATGGTTTACGAGGTCAGGATGTGCGTATAACACAGTAATATGCATTTACATGTGATATTGAACTTGTACCGCATCAGAGGGACGTCAAGACTGATGAGTTTATAACGAAGCGGCTACTTCCCGGTCAGGGGAGGAGTCGCCGAAGGTCGAGAGGTGCTAACAGGAACGGCGGTATTGTCGGTGGCTAATAATGATTTATTGCTCACATGACATGCGGGACGCTGTGTTGTAGAAACGCCTGAGAATGCTTTAGAATGAACTTGGAGTAAAATGCGTCACAAATATGTTTGGTACGGAAGGATGTAATGATAATAATAGTATAAAGGACTCCCTTCAACTCAAAGTGTACGTTGAGATATTTTTGCATTTCTGATGACGTCACATTTATGATCGTTAAAGTGGTATGTCACCGTCCTGTTTTCAACGTTATTGTATTTTTTCTACACCTGTACTTTAACCTTTCAATTATATATCGAGTTCTTAGGTTTTTGGCGATTGTTACACTTTCTACTTTTTTCAAACAGTAAAAAAGTTTTCCGTATTACTTTTTTCAAACAAACCAACGTTTTGGGCCCTATACAGGTCCTAAGCTCAGTCAACCGTGACCATGGGGCCTACATAGGGCTCACTATAAATTTCCGGAACTAGCCACTTACATAAACAATATTTAAAAAGTAATTACGACATTTGAAAATGGAACTCTTTGGCTGTAGAATACAGTTTGTTTCATCTGACTGTCACTTGTTTTTACATTGTGGCGTCATTTTAGAAATTGATTGTCTACATCACCATAGATTTAACTCGTGAAAATTTTCGTAGTATAATTTCCTACGACTTTAAATGTAATTTAACAGCTCAGCGGAGCTTCGCTCGGCCTCAGACTGCTTTTGACGATGAAGCACCATGCAAAACGACTATTTATAGCTGGTTCAAAAATTCATTTGTCTGTCTGGCCGTGTGAGAACTGGCATTATCGTGGTGCAAGATGATACGGCGTTTACGGTTATTATTACGGAGTTTGTCAATAACTTCCGGCAAACAAATGGTCTTGTATCAATCACTATTCACGGTACGACGACTCTCCAAAGCAACAGTAGCCACGTGTCCAGTTTTATTAAAAAAAGAAGCAATCATCCGCTTAGCGGCACTTTGCACGCGCGCGACTTTGGTTTGTTTCGCCTCATCTCGAAAGAGCCATACGCTAGATCGCTACCTGTTACTATGTCCCACACCAAATTTGATGCCCCTTCGTTTAACCTGGTAAGCATGGCATTGCACCAAGAGACGTGATTCGTTTTTTGAGCCTCACTGCCTCAGTCAAAGTGTGTGGGATCCACCGAGAGCACAGCTTTTTCACACCCAAATGTTTGTGTAGTAGTATGGATGTATTTCACTCATGCCTATGCCTAAAGATGCCCGAATCTTATGGTATGTCACATGCCTGTCTGTTTTGATCATACGGCGCACAAAATCGATGTTTTTGTTGTTCACAGCAGTGGACTGGCGACCATCACGAAATTCGTTACTGAGATTCACACGACCGCGTTTGAATTCTGCAAACCAGCTATAAATAGTCGTCTTGCAAGGTGTTTCATCGCCAAAAGCAGTTTGAAGTCGAGCGAAGCTCTGCTGAGCTGTTAAATTTCACTTAAAGTCATAGAAAAAAAATTCACGAGTTAAATCCATGGTGATGTAGACAACCAATTTCTAAAATGACGCCACAATGTAAAAACAAGTGACAGTCAGATGAAACAAACTGTATTCTACTACACCCAAAGAGTTCCACTTTCAAATGTTATAATTACTTTTTTATATATTGTTTATGTAAGTGGCCAATTCCGGAAACTTATAGTGCGCCCTATGAAGGTCCCATGGTCACGGTTGACTGAGCTAGGACCTGTAAAGGGCCCAAAACGTTGATTTGTTTGAAAAAACAAATATATGTTGTTATATATATCACAAAGGCGTTCTTTTCAGTTCTGAACCAAAATTCTATTGTCTATGGTACTCGCTATCGAACTGAAAAAATGACACAATGAGTTTAAAAAAAAGAAAGTCGTACTTTTGCTAAATAAAATATCAAATATGACGCTGATCATACGCTCTACTGCCTCCTGATTGGTTAAAATATAAGCGGTACTTGACCAATCACGAACACTTCTATACTATCTCTTTGGTTTTTGTTTTGTTTCGTTTATTTGGCTTTCGTTTGAGTTTACCGTCCTGGATTATCAACAATAACCGTTAAATAATGGTTGTGTTTCACTATTTTAATTAACTTCTATAAAAAATATTGTATGCAGTCATTATATAATTAGGTCTTAAAATCTCGTACCTATTATGTAGGGCACAAGACTTTGCCGAGTGGCCTACGTAATAACACGGTACTGGTCTACGAAAATACAATACTTGACTTTAAGAACTTTCATTACGCAACGAATGCAGAAAATACTATTTCTGAAATATTAATAAGGTATAAGCAACTCTTATCATTTGCAGTAATGTAACATTAAGATGGCTTACTTCGATTATTGAGAAGTTGAGTTAAATCAAATGTGGTAGTAATGCTTTTCATATTCATTGAATAAAGTGGAAAAGCGACATGCTAAAGTATACATCGTTGTTTCAGGAAGGCAAAGAGCTGGCTTTCGAAATGGGCGTATTACTTAGGAAAAGATATAATGACTTCTTGGGCCTTTATTATCAACCCGGTAAGGATTTAAATAAATTGTCTTTGACGAAAGACTTGTGTGCATTAATAAAGTACACGTGTATGATTTGCATCGTTTGTAGAATTTTATTTGTTACCATTTTTTAAATCTTAAATACGTTTAGGTATAATTGTTTGTTAAACAATTGTAGAATTTCTTTTAAGGATATCAAATTTTTGTTTACAGAGACGAGTGTCGTGATAGCTTCGGATACAAATTTAAGCAAGATGACGGCTCTTTTAATATCAGCGGGGTTGTGGCCGCCGCCTGCGAAGCAAATGTGGAATGACACCGTGGAATGGCAGCCCGTGCCCTACACTTATCCACCAAGGAAAGAAGACTTAGTGAGCATTCTTTATTTACTTATGTCTAACTTTTCCCCAAGTGTACGATTTTAACTCCACTTTTCTATATTTTATTAACTTTTAGCTTTTATATCAAGAGAACTGCCCTCGTTATAATCAGGAGAAGAAAAGAATACTTCGAGCGTTCATAGACGAGGGCCTTTTGTTACCATATAAAGATCTATTTCATAAGATCGCCCAAATGACCAACACGAACTTCAGCACTCCCGAGGAAGCGTTTTATCTTAGCAATCTATTTCTCATACAGGTAAATATTGTATGGTGTTTGCTTAATATTTCATAAAATTAAAATAGAAATAAATTTAAATATAATACCCATTCTTAGATGGATTCCGCAAACAGAAGATCCGACTTTACGCGTTCTTTGTAATGTTGAGTACGGCAGAAAAAGCTTTATTAAACTGCAAATTAGATATTTAGCGGAATATAAAAAAATACTATGATAGATTATATTATCGGAGGAAATGAAAATTGACAAAACAAATTGAATAAATGAATGTTTTGTGCGGCGTTACTCTTAAATAAATAATGTTGAACAACGTGTAACGCAGTAAAAGTGCGGTGTGGTGAGGTAAAACGATGTAGGAACCAGAATAGAAAAGGGAATGTTTCGATTTGTAAAAGACTGATGCGAGTGGATGAGGCGAAAGAAGTGTGTCACGAACGTAGTGAGTAGAGGTTTACGGTTTCTGCCTCGCTTGGCAGCAAAGTTATTTTTTGCGTCTCGTGCCTTAAAAACCCTTGCTACGCTCAGGATTCTATTTTTTTAATCTTAACATCCTTCGCTTGTTCAGGTTTCAATACCAGCAATCGTGTCAAATAACAACTTTGCAGCCTTACGTAACAAATTATTATTATTTACGAGTAAAAAGCGTGACTCGTTTGCAGGACGATATTAGAGTGGCGAACCCAAAGTGGGCAAAACACGTGAAGAGAAAACTGATGGATGTCGCCAGGCTGGAGTTCTCAATGATGTTCCATAACAATTTATTGAAAAAACTTAGTGGAGGTAAGAAAATGGATTTAACATTGTATCCATGAAGTAGAAAAACTAATAAGAATATCTGAAATATTAAATATCCCCTTTTAAACGTAATGGGGGACAAACAGAGCATTCTAGAACTTTATCAATACTCAATTAATATTTACTGATATTATTAATGAATGAAAATTTGAATTTTTAATGAAATTTCACCATTCATTAAAAATTCAAATTAAATCACATTATTTGGGGCTTGTGGTAGCCTAATGGTTTGACCTACCGCCTCCCAAACAGAGGGCCGTGGGTTCGAATCCAGGCTTGCACCCCCGAGTTTTTGGTAATTTATGTGCAAAATTCAATTTGAAATTTACCATGAACTTTTCGGTAAAGGAAAACATCGTGAAGAAACCTGCACACATTTGCAAAGCACGCAAGCACAATTTTGTGTGAAGTTCCCAACACGCATTGTGCTGGCGTAGGAAGTACAGCCCAAATCCTGTGCCCAGCAGTGAGACCTTATATAGTATAGGGTAACTAGTAATTTGGGGCTTACTTTAAATAACATTAATAAATATTTGTAAATTTTAATGCCAGGTGCGCTACTACAACAGATAATACAAGAAGCAATTTCGAACACAATCGACCCGTCAAGTCCGCGGGTGATCGTACGCACAGGTACGCCGGTTTCCGTAGCAGCGTTATTGTCTGCCTGTGTAGAGCCCCCACCGCGCCTACCGGATCCTGGTGTAGCAATATTATTTGAGCTCCATGAAAAGCTTCCGTCTCAGAAAGAACAGAAGATAAATGATGGACAGCGGTTTGGATTAAAGGTAACTAATTACGATCATAGAGTTACGTTATAAGACTTTGAAGAAACTTAAAGACGGGGCTATAAGTGAAAAAAAGAAAAAAAAAAGAAGTCTTATTTAACTGCCTCCGTGGCCGAATGGTTACCATGCCGTACTGCCACGCAGAGGTACCAGGTTCAATTCCCGGGCCGGGAGAAATATTTGTATGGCCTACATTTATTTCTTTCGTGAGTTTTGGTATAATTTGTGATTGTCCATGTGTGTGTTCATGGCACCCGCGACACTGGGTTTCCCTAGTGCGGGGCTATGTTATGTATGTGCGTTATTATTATTATATTTACTTAATTAACTTTAATTATTATATTTCATTTATTGAAATAAAATTTGAAATTTATTTCGCGGTTATGAAAAAAAACGCGAAAAAAACTTCGTCTCTTAGATAATGTTTTCAAGTTCATTAAATTTTTTTACGTCGAATCGTAATGGGGTTTTAGGAAGTTCGTTGTTCAAAATTGTATCTAAAGTCATTTACATGGTGTGCAACTTTACAGTTTAAAAAAGTGACAATTAGTCAATATCAACCTGTGATTAATGCTCTGGCCAAACAGAGGCGGCCGCGTAAGCGTTCCGCGCGTTCCAGAACTCGTACATTACAAAAATTCCCGCGCCCGGAAAGCTTCCGCGGCCGCCTCTGTTGTGGCGTAATTGTAATTTTTTTATTAAATTTAAAAATAAAATTTTAAAAATGGTTTTAAAATATTTACAAAACAACTCAATTTCAGATATACTACTGGGATGACGATTCAGCGGAACCTAAATTAATGGAGGTTCCGGGCTGCGACGCGTTTTGTCCCATGGAGACGTTCAAAGAACTCACAAAGTACACTGTGTCGTATAATTATAAGAAAGACTGTAAATTGGTTCCTTAGACGTAGGGTCGGTGTGATACTTTGATTATACTGAATCGAAAGAACAAGGCTGTGGTTAATTTTGTAAAGAACGGAAGTCTGCGGAAGGAATAAAGTTAACGTATTGTGTATAATGAAGTTTTAATATAAACTATTTATCATGTATGCCACAGCTGGAGCTATATGAATAGTCATAATTATAAACTGTGAACACTCTTTCTTGTAAATTGTATATTACGTCGTTTACACAGCGTTTTAATTTGACAGAACTAAAGTGACACTTTGTATAGCTTTGTGTGGCTAAGTATGCTGTGTATAAATAGTCGTAGGTATTTAGATGAAATATAACGTTACTGTGAAATAAACGGGAATTATTTGACGTTTGAACTTATTATGATTGTTGAATGCTTACTTGTTTGTAGCAGAGCATTTATAAACTACTATTTAGATAGAGTGATATAACTACGGTATATAGCCTTTCATGTAGTCCATTTTTTAGGTACTTATTTGGTACAGTACGGACTTGGCTTACCTTCATCGATTTTGAGACCAGTTTCATCCTTCGGTATATTCATGGATATATCAGCGAACACGTCCACACCCCATGATTGCGATCCGCGTAGTTTCAAGTACTCTGCGATAAGTGCCGCTATGTGAAGTTGGCAGCACATTGCCTGTGAAGAAAAGCTTATAAGGACAAGTACGGCTGAAATTTTCCATTGACAAAATGTATGTAATAAAACATCAACGACGTTAATATATAAGGTTATTTGTAAAATTTGAACATCCTCGTAGAGCTATATTACTAACATCATAAATAACAACGTTTGTTAATTTAATAAAACCAAAATGAAACTTTTAAGTGTTTGTTGCACTATCTGACATTTTTAGGTCTGTATTTGGTAGTCAGGTAAAACTTAACCTAAATACATGAATCTTATTAAATAACCTTTTATTTACATATATGTGCTAGATTATTGCAAACAGTGAAATGGTTGTATGTTTGTATGTAACTTTAATTAAGGTTAGTAGATAGCTAGTAGTTAGTAATTAAGTAATTAAAATTTATAGATGTAGTTGTTTATGAGTTGTTGTCCGCGAGGTTGCTAGTATTTTACAAATAATTACGGTTATCGTTGCTTTATCACTGATTGAAAACATTCGCAGTGCTATTACAATAGTGTAATTGAGAAAAATCGATTTGAAAATTAAACAAAAAATACCGAATGAAACCAATATATATATATATATATATATATAGTTTGTAAATGGATAATTAAGAATTATGTGCAAAAATACAAAGAATCACATTATTCGCATTGAGATCCATAAAGTTTTTTTTTTAATGTTCAAATAGTGTATTCTCAATTCCACAATTTTGTGTTACAACACTGTTGTAATAGCAGTGCCATGTGTGAAATACATACTTTACATTATTTTTATGACTGTAAGTGACGAGATGAACAAGTCGTGCGCTTGATGGTAAACAACACGCCTGTCCATAACAGTTACAGTGCCACTTAGAGTTTTAATCGCAAAGATCTGAGGGGCACTATCACTGCGCCCGTCACCCTGAGACATAAGTTAAAAAGTCCCATGTGCCTGTAATTTCACCATTGAGCCAACGTGTTAGATTATGTCTTTATATCTTCCCTTTCGTACGAAATCCGTGCCTAACAGTGGATCGTCATCATTATCATCGTCAAACTCGTTTTAGTTTTGGTCGAGTCATCGCCGCGGAAGCTCATAATTAAGGACCATGTTAGTATACTAATTTGAAATAATTATGTCGAGCAAAACGTGAGTTCTCTGTTTGCTGATTTAATCGTCAACGTTGAAGGATCCGTCATTCTGGCCCAGTGAGGTCTCCCACGTTTTCCAAAAGATAAACTTTCTTCGACGTACGAGTTTCATCACGATATTTATCTTCACCGCCAGCGAAAGGTACTGCTACTAAATATTCAAAAACATGTACATGCCGTCACAGGGATTCGAACTGATGACCTCTCGATTGAGAAGTAACTGGGCTACTTTTTATACCGTGGTTCATGTGTTGCTCCAATACCTCATCATGATCGCCCTGCCGCGCGTTGTGTTCAGCTAACGTTGCGAGCCACGCGTGTCTCAGACGCGGTGTGGCGCGACATGACGCTGCCAACGCGTGCTGTAACTCTGCCAGGTGCACGCTGCCTGCACCTATTACATTGAATATTTAAAGTACTATGTATCAATAGCAATAACACATTAAGTGTCTTTGGGGTACCTCAAATGGCTTTGATTGATTCCGGATAATAATGAAAGTGTTGAATCACTTTGGAAAAATATAAAGTATAATTGAGGATATACACTGGTTACTATAAGGTGTGAAAACACGATTCTTAAAAATTTTCACGATAGAAAAAAAACACAAACTCACTCCGAAAATTTAAAAGAAAACCGCTGTATTCAATAGGTATTTTACATATACCAATACCAATGATCTCAACTGAACTAAGTAGATCACGTATACTTATACCTTATACCTTTCTGAAATAATTGTAATTTCGTTTGTAAAAAAAAATCTGAAATAAACTCAGTGTCCCTGCCGCTCGATCCAAGCAAAATGAATCGTATTTGTACGGGAAAAAATTTAATTCCAGCGGAGGTAGTATAAGACTCTTAACATATTTTTTTATGCCTGCTAGACAAACCCTGCGTCTCAGGTGCCATGGACACACATAGACAATCACAAAGTACAACCAAACTCACGGGAGAAATTAATGTAGGCCATACAAACATTTCTCACGGCACGGGAATCGAACCCGGGACCTCTGCGTGGCAGACCAGCATGGTAACCGTTAGTCCAGGGAGGCGGTTTGGCTTTGTAATAGTTTTATCGCATATTACTGCGATCCATTTGTGATTTCCTTAGTTACTATTTTTTTATAAGTGTATTGTAAATGGCGATCCTTAGAAGAGGACTTAGTGTTAAATAACTGAATGTATACCTGCTCCACCATAGCCTCCGACTCCAGCTAGCCGAGCTCTCGCGCCGACTACTGTGCGTACGCGTCGCATCAGTTCAGCTACCTCGCTTGATAATCCTGTTCAGAAAAAAAATTAAGATATTGTTACGCAGAAAACGCTCAACTCCAGCCGTTGTAGGTAAGTTTTCCAACGTACCTGTTCCTTTCATAGCTTTATCTCCAGTGGCGAAGCAGTTGATGACGGACAAAGATTCTTGAAATCGTTTGCAGTTTAACGCCGTAGACTTGTCTAGCAACTTTGATACTGCTATGATAACCTGTAAGAAATTTGTTAGTTGGCAACAAAAAACTGATACAAATTTGTATGTCGTTAACACTTTTTAATTCACAAATTACGTCTACGTATCTCAATTGGTCTCTAAATTGGTGAAAAATGATGTGTCTAAATTGGCCTTTACCAGTAGGTAAAGGTCAATTTACACATATATTCATTCCAATCAGTTCAATGTTACACTGAACGCGCACTATTGAAGCTATAATATTAGTTAATAAGAACACGTGCCTGTAAATGTACCCTGGTTAGATTACCACCAGAGCCGTGTTGGAAGTTAGCCCTCATGAGTAAATATAAGGCGGCAGCGGCCTCTCGTCGAAGCCAAGCGGCGCGCGCCTCGCATAGCTTAACCACGGCGGTCACTACTCCTGCGCATACCGTGCTACCACCTGGCGAAAAAATATATAAGGTGGAGGCACCAGTGGCCGACAAGCACCACTGTTCGACGTCTTTTTTGAAATTAATTTTATAAGATTTAGTACTATTTTTTGTCATTGTAACATTATTCTTATTGGTAAGTGTTAATTACTGGATTGTTCATTATTGGGACTGTTGATTACTGGTAAGTTAATTCGTGGATTTTTGGTGTTCGCTGGGGATTTAGAGAAATTCTAGTTTAGGTTTTTTTTCGTAAAAATTATAATAGCTTTTTTATTGAACATACTACAACAATAATCTTTCTTGAGGATTATATCTGTCAAGTAAACTAATCATAATTGATATATTATGTTTAAAAACAAAAAGTTATTTCAAATTGAAACACACACTTCCTTTAAAATGTCCATCATTTCTGCCACTGCCTATGTTTTTCTTTTAAATGTCAATCATAAGCAATATTTTCTGCTAAAAATCCTCTTAGAATTCTATGAACTCTAAATTTTAGATCTATTTAAGATGGAATTGAAGCTGCAAATAAAGCATCTGTGACCAGTATCTTTCTAATCATGAGAAAAAAAGAAAATCAAAGAAATAAGAAATTCAAAAAATTATGAATATATTCCCTAAAAGATTGTCAGTTGAAATTAAACCTGCCTTCAAACAGTGTTTCCGAGAACTGATTGATGTAAGCCCTGAGTGCGGCAAACAAATGTTTGTACAAGTTCTCGCTCTGTGGATACTGAAGCAGCTTTAAGTATGGCTTCGCAGCGACGCCGTCCGCAGCGCCTATGTGCTTCATGAATAGACACGCGCGGTCTATGATTGTAAGGCCAACCTCGGTAGCTAAACAGCCAGCTGACAGTACCGAGTGTTCTGCTATTGCTTCTAGTTCTGGAATCAAGTTGTTCCGTACGTACGTACGATATTATATCGATTACACTTTGTAAAAAAAAAACTTAAACGTGTAAGGGTTCTTTTGTCGAAGTTTCGTTTCAGCGTCAGGCAAAGACCAGAAGGGTAGTGTTACTGCGCCCGCCATCGGCACCCTGAATAAGGTCGACTACAGTCGTAGTTCTATCAGCACCCTTACCGTTTAAAACTAGAACGCAGTAATGCTCACAATACTACTTAGCAATAGTATTTCCCTGGACGAACTTTTTCACTATAATACTTTCGTCATAATTGAATTTTTAGCCTATACTTTTAGATCGTGTGTGTAAGTGTTGCCAGTTCAAGATAATATAAGTGGTTATTTTGTGTTGGTATTCAAAATAATCGACTTACCAGAAGTGACTGTATTAGTGACAAGGTTCTCCCTGTTTACAGTGTTATTCTTCTCTACAATTATAGGAGGTTCTTTAGAAAAGTCAGGAGGGCTCATTCTGGCGGGTAGTGTTCGTGCTTTCATAGGCTTCGGCTTGCTGTTGCAGTCCGGTGTCGATGTTTTAAGTTCAGAGAGAATTTTCTTTCTACCTTGGTATTGGAATTGTTCAGCGCATATTCTGAAATTCATCAGAAATTTTAAGTAAATTTAAGACGCTATACAGCGTGTTCGTTTTTAGCTGGGACTGTTTTGGGAAACCGAAACCATAGGAGACAAGGGAAACTGTCTTAGGAACCGTTAAGACCTTTTTGTAAAAACAATTTTGACATAATAAATTTTTGGTAAAGTACGAGTTGCCCATACAAGTGAATAATATTAACATTTTTTTTAATGCTGATCGGCACAGTCAAATTACAAAATAATTTTAAAAAATTAAAAAAAAGTTTAAAAAAAAAGCAAAAAAGAAACAACTCACGCTTCATCAACAAATTCACTACATCAAATTGGTTTTAACACAAAATATCTAATGGTTTCTCAAACAGTGATTTCCATGCGAGAATAGCGCGAGTCTTTATGTCGCTCTCGCTCAAGTCGCGCCTTATTGTGCTAGCCCTACTGTATTCCCTATAGTTTCGAATTTCCCTAAACTGTATCAGTTCAAATAATCACAATGTACTTATATGTATAATTTCAAGTTTATTGCTAAGAAATACGCTTAAAAAGAATTAATTTTCAATTGGTGACCAGACAGGTATTATTGATACAGTTGTTTAATGAGCACACTCACAGAAAATAATACCGAGTTACATGCAGGGGTTGTTATAGGCGCAAAATTAAAATAGAAATGCTTGTTCATGTGAGTACATTGAGTATTAAAAGATTTCATTCAAATGTTGGTTGTTCTAGTTTTGGTAAATAACGTACATCGACAGTCTTACGTAGAGTACTTACTCCAAGACGTTAAAGAATGATTGTTGTTGCGCCTGCGAATGCGTCTTCCACCACTCGACTAATCGTTCCTCGTCTAAATACTTCAAAACAAACAAGAAACATAGAAGCACGTCCCGCACCTCTTCCGCGGACATCACACCGAATCTGGACATATACAACACGAGTTCAAGCTTTACTCACCAATATTAAAAGTTGCAAATACAATAAAGTATTAAAGAACAATAGCGAAATTATTGTTAAAATAATTATTGGGCATTTTCAAACGTCATAATTACAAGTTTGAATAAAATAAACTTATTTAAATATAAACATATTTAAATGAAACTTAAATGAGTGCTTAATTAGTATGTAAACGGAATGATATCTACAACCCAGTCAGTTTCTCAGTTTCTTAATGTTGAGCGACATCTAAAAGCCAAAAAGTGATTTTCAATATATACGTAAAGATTACCCACATTAAGTTAGTTTGCGTAATATCAAATATTGAACTGATTCGGCCGATTTGCAATAAGAGATGATATAAAGTATATAACAAAAAATAGTAGATAATTCCTTCTCCAAATATGCCATGCGAGAAAATGATAAAACTGATAAAAATGTTCCCGATATCAGGGATAGATGACATGTTTCACAAAAAAATAATTGGTGCCCGAGAGTTACCAGGGCATGGTATGTATTAACTTAGTTTTTTTTTTGTTATGGCTTAACTTAATGTCTTTTGATCATACCTTATTAGAAATATTTTCCTCTGAATTTTCATCACGTCACAAACCCACGGCACCATTCAGCTTCTATTAACTCAGTTTAAGGTTTCTGTACTTTATTTTGATATAATAAATACACCGAATACATAATATTTTATTCAATTATGTCAAATATAACCTTCAAAACTTCAAATTGGAATAATTCCAACTTTTCCGAATTCGCTAAGTCCCTTCCTCTTCCAGTCATTGTTCCTACATTCCAACTCGCAATCAGACTTTTCCGAATAGCAAATTTAAAACTATCGAGTATGTACCATCGAGTATATTATATACTCGATGCCAAAAACCCAATTTTTGTCCAGGAATTTGAACTCTATTATCACATAAATTTATATTGTCATATATTGTTCATAAACAGATGTATACAAATTACGTCAACTAAAATGTATATGCAAGTTCGCCATTGTTCTTTATTAAATAAAGTAGGTATTTAATTAAAGAGAATTTTTGCTACATTTTAATTTTCTTTTGCAGAATGTATCAACACTAAGCTTATGAAGTGTTTTTTTGTAACATCCTCAGATATTTTGCTAAATAAATAAAAAGAACATAACGTTATATTTGAAACAATCACGTAAGCTTTCCAATTTGTGAAACTGGTAGAGATACTCAACAATGCGTTACCCCATAAAGTTCACACAGTTTTTGATAGGACAACAAATTACCTGTTGACTTGGTCACCAATTTCGCTTAAGTCCAGCCTGGTACTGTTTCTGGGAAGCGAATCGCCTCCGGACATAGTCGAAACAGATTCGAGAGAGCTTTGTGACGCATTGTTTGTGTGATCTAAGGACAGACATGTGCGGGTGGAACAAGGCCATTGGTTCTTACCGAGAGCATTTGGCAATCAACAGTATAAAGTGTGAATGTGTGTCTCGTTACTTCCATATAACATTTTTTTGGTCAGAGATTGAGTTCAGCGGGTGGAACTTGTTTTTCGATTTATGCTCTAAATAAGTGCGCACAATTAAAAACATTACACAAAAGAAACATTGATATTACCAATTCAAATTGACAAAATCCGTGTATTTTGGAATCAAAGACATACACATAAGCATACCCACCAAACATATTACAATTGGACAAACAAATAATATTCACATGTGACAAAGGTAAGAAACCCACATATAAAGTAACAAATAAATAAATTACTGACCTTTTCCATACATGTGATTTATCTGAATTGTTGGTGGCTCTTTAAAATGAGCGGAATTTCTGACGGGCGTGTGATCAAAATGTAACGTGAGTCGGTTTCTTCGTGGTGTGCTATTCGCTGACGTCACTTCTTTTTGTGTAACCAAAATGGAGTTCAGAGTGGCGTCCCCGTCGACTTTATCGTGTCCATTTTCTAAGACAGGACTTGCAAGTTGTTTTGTTACTAGACGGTGAGCGTTGTCTACGGGAAAGACACATTTAAACTTTATATACAGTATGGGTTAGCATGTAAGTATGCATAAATATCATTTTACCTATTAAGTATGATATAGCAAATGAAAATGCATGTAAATCGATGGCTTTTTAGAATAGAGGTATATCAAAAACATTGAACGAGTAATACATCAGGAAGAAGATTTACTAATAATCTCAGTACAGAGTACTAAAAAAAACCGACTTCAAAAGTCATTCATCCCCTAGTTTGCCACCCTTAGAAGTGGAATATTTTCTTCAAACTTAAATAGGACCACTACCGAGGTACCCTCTATCCAACAAAAAAAAAATCATCAAAATCGGTTCACAAATTTAAAAAAGTAAGTAACATACGGGTATATAAAAAAATAGTCGGATTGAGAACATTCTTCTTTTTATTGAAGTCAGTTAAAATCTGAGGCGTATCTGGCGCGCAGTCGTCGAATCGTATGCCAGCTCCAGGCTGGAGTCTTATTCACAATAAAAGCACCGTCGACTGTGCAATTAGTAAAAAAATAACTGTTTTGAGTTGGGCCACCATTCTCAAAAAGCAGCTAAATATACAGGGTTATTTGAAATATACAAACAACATCGCAGGCCTATATTAATAATAATAAAAACAACTTTTGTCCCATGACTTTTAACAAAACTTAATAAATTTACATAAAAATAAACTATAAGATTTTGTTGTACTATCTGACACTTCTTATATCTATATTTAGTAGTAAGGTAGTAAGTTCAAACGTGCAAGCGTCCGTCCCGACGACCCCCACGATCGCTCATGCGCTTTGCATCGAACTAGCGCTTTCTTCTGTAACCGCACGGAGTTATCACCGCATTCAAATATTTTTATTTTTTTACGAAAGTAAACACTGGTGAATTATTAAAAGTCGCGGAACAAAAGTAGTTGTTGATGATGTTAGTAATGTGGCACAGCGAGTTTGTTAGTTGTTGTTCTTATTTTACAAGTAGTCCTGTATACCTCATTACACAGAACATTTTCATATTCACTTTCGACCTAATTTTTTTAATAAAATATAAGTGCGCATTTGACCTACATCTCACGTGATGGAAAGTGACGATGAGGTCGATGATGGAGCATGCACACCTAAATAATGCCTATTCACTCTCGCCTTGAAAAGGCCCATGTTATAATGTCTGCAGGCAGATAATTCTACTCCATAGCCGTTCGCCATATAAAAGTGGAAATGTAACGCTTCGTGCGAATCTTTGGAATATCCACAACATAGGGGTGGAACCCAAGCCTACGCCTATTCCCCGGTGATGGAAAGGGGAAGGCGGAATGAAATCGTGTAATTCCATCGCACACTCTCCGTGATATAATCCTGTAAAATACCGATAAGCGGGCAACTATACGGCAGCGTTCCACTAATTTCGAGTCTCCTATTTGCAGGTGTGAACAATGAGAATGTGACTATCATCTCTTCATCACTATCATATACATACCTAGTACAATAGTAAGCCAAGGTGCGTACAGCTGTGCAAGCCGGGAGCGTGCTTGCCTCGTGCGATACCTGTCGTCATGTTCGTGCTTAGTAAGTAAGCCGCGCAGTACACCCAGAGCCGTGCGTCGCTTTTGTGGAGCTTCGCGTAGAGATTGTTCTACCTTTGAACATTTAAAATTATTTTATTTATTTATTTTATCTTACAAACAGCTTATACAACAACATAATGAATATAAAATAACAATAGTAAACAAACAGTTCCCTGCTGATAGAAGTTGAGTTGAATAAAATACGTAAATGCGACAGCGTGACACTACGAGTATAACTAGGTCATACTCACACCACTTACCTATTAAAGATATTAATATAATAATAGTAATACTTATAAAACCAAGAGAAAATTCATAAAAATACATCTACCACTTATGTAAATAATGGACAAATAACTTATGCTTTACTACGTATATTTACATAATTTATTTACTGTAGTTTGAGCGTCTGTTCTCTTAAGCACAAGCCTCGTGTAATGTAAATGAAAAATGTAATGCGTGCTGTTGAAATAAACAATTCGAATATGACACTTACTTGTTTTAACAAAATTCCAGCTAGAAAGTGCCTGTTTATAAAGTCTTCGGACAGTTTTAGTTTCGCTGGATCTGTAATATAAAGGAAAAATTGTATTTCAAAATTTCGAAGTCAATACACCAGTTCATAGGGTAAAAAATATTTTTTACCTTCATCACAGTTTTTGGCAAGTTTATTAGCTTGTAATGGCAAGTTGAACGGTACAAAATGTTCGTGCAAGCAGATTGTTTGCAAGAATGTGAATTTGAAGTCAAACAGCGCTTTGGGGTCGCACACCTTGAACTTGTCCAAGTATTTCTTTATTTGGCAGAATATGAAGCCTCGATCCATGAATGAAAGGCACGACTGAAACAAAAAGGCCCAGGGAATATGTACATGAACAGGGATGATGTATTAAAGTTATTATTTTATTTTCATATAATTGTGACTTGGGAATATCTTGGCAATACAGTTATAAGAAAACCGCATTCCTACTGCATAGAACACGTAGCAGTTCCAACAGTATTCTAAAAATGTTTAGTTGTAAAATAGCAGAGCCCATGCTTGAGCATTATGTTGGCGTGTTGGTATGGCAATCCACTAATACAAATTTTAAATTACGACCTCCTTACAAATTAAATTAAAATGTAGATCAAGTTGGGGTTGAAATTTTTATTTTATTTTTTCTTTTTATTTTATTTCAATTTTAATGTTTATTTTATTGCAATAAAAAAATTGTGATTTTATTATAATATTTCAATTTTCAGTTTTTAATGTTACTGTATTTAAATTTTAATTGAATTTTTTTATTACATTTAATTATTTATTTATTTATTTATTTATTTATTTTTGGCATAACTACAGAATACAAATTATATGGTTCCTTAAGTTAGCATGCATTACAATATAAGTAAATTATGCATTCCTATAACAGCTACGCACAACATTTGACAAGTAAATAATGATATAACCTAATTAATATTAAAACTAATGTACATTATTTTAAGAACTACACATGGACGGACCTTTGGATAATATAAGTAAAAATAAATAAAAATAAAAATAAAAATTCCTCTTATTTAATTCTGACAATATAAATAATTAGAACAAAGGAAAAAAAAGTAGTGTAAAAATAAATATTAATAAAAATAAAATAAAATAAAAGAACAGGGACAAATTTCATACTTCTTAAATACATTTAAGTACAATATAAATTCAGATGTTTTTTACATGTATTTAAATAACTTTTGCGACTCTGCGAGAATATGTCCAAATATTTACACAAATTGTTATGACCTCTGCACATGCGGAGAATGGGATCATTATATGATACATTGTTCGCAGTGCATGGTAGAGAAAAGGTGTTTTGTGTACGTTTACTACCGATCTTGAAAGAGATGTGGCCTAAGAGCTCACCTGAGTCCACCCATGAGTTGATTATTTTAAAAAGAGTGGAATAATCAAGAATTACACGTCTGGACTGAAGAGAATCTACGTTAAAATATTTGAGTCTTGCCTCATACGTGTCCAATCTCTTGCGCATTCCGAACTGCGTGGTCAAGTTGCGGAGAAACCGTCTTTGGACATTTTCAATTGCATCAATGTGGCAATTATAATAGGGTGACCATATAACCGAACAATACTCTAGATGGCTGCGGACCAAGGAAGAATATAGGGTTACCATCCTAGTTGAATTTTTGAATGGTTCTGACACTCTATTAACGAAACCCAGCATTCTGTTTGCTTTGGCGACTATGCGTTCGTAATGTACCGAAAAATTCAGTTTGGAGTCGAACCAAACACCAAGATCATTAACCTTATCCTGCTGTATTAGTATGACATTGTTTATATTGTAGGGATATTTAATAGGTTTTTTTTTCTTGGTGAATGTAATAATGTGACACTTGTCAACGTTTAAATGCATATTGTTTCTATCGCACCATAAACATAGTCGGTCTATGTCCTGCTGCAATGCGATACAGTCATGTATAGAGTTTATCTCACAATATAGTTTTAACTGATCAGCATACGCTAGACACGGACAGGAAATTGAATCTACAAGATCATTTACAAATAATATGAACAAAAGAGGACCCAAATTAGAGCCCTGAGGTATGCCTGAAGTAGGTTCAAAAGGAACAGAGTCATACCCGTACACAGCTACAAGCTGCGTGCGGTTTCTCAGGTAAGAGTCAAGCCAGCGCAGAAGTGAGCCATGAACACCGAGGTGATTAGCCTTACGACAAAGAATCTCATGATCAACCTTGTCAAAGGCTTTAGCAAAATCGGTATATATAGAGTCCACTTGGGAAGGTTTATTAAAGGCTGCATTCAAGTAATGTACATACGTTAATAGGTTGGAAGAGGTTGAACGGCTCCTAACAAAACCATGCTGCCTGGGACTGATTACATGTTTTAAATGAAAATACAGACGTTCATAAACCAGTGTTTCGAAGATTTTTGAGAAACACGAGAGAATGCTGATGGGCCTATAATTTTTGACATCGGATTTACAACCAGATTTATGGATTGGCGTAATTTTGGTCATCTTCCATAATTGGGGAAAGTAACCAGTGTTAAGGCTTTTATTAAATATAATACTAAGAGGCTTCGCTAAAACGCTACTACAGTTTTTCACAAAAACTGGTGGTATACCGTCTGGGCCTGCTCCTTTTGAAATGTCGATTGATTTTAATGTTGCTTCAACGTCAGCTTCGGAAATGGTGACATACGAAATGCTGTAATTTGATTCCGGAAAGTCCGGAATGTATGACGTTCTAGAGGGCATGGCGTAAACAGATGCAAATTGCTTAACAAATAAGTTAGCCATATCATAGCCTGTACAAGCAGTATCATTCCCATAGTACATTTGTTTTGGTAAATTGTTATTTATTCTCTTAGATTTAGCGTATCTCCAAAATACTTTAATGTTATTTTTAAGACTGGTTTCGACATTAATAATATAAGATCTGAAACAATCATACAAAACAGACTTCGCCCTTGACCTAAGCATCGAATATGTATCAAAATCACGCGGATTGCCAAATTTTTTGAATTTACTATGAAATCTGTTTTTCTCCTTCAGTATTTTAATTAGACTGCGTGAAAACCAATTGGGCCACATGTTTTTGGAGTGAGTTTTTGGTGTATGCTTCTCGATAACTACCCACAAATGGTTATAGAACATCTGTACAAAATCGTCACAACTGAGATTAGAATGTTGCTCCCAAGCCACTTGGGATAGTTCCAGCAGGCACGATGGAAAGTCAGTTTTATAAAATCTGTACCTTGTAGTGCGGTTCTCTTTGAGAGATGATGTTCTAAGGGATTTTACTGGTAAAACTATTTCCAGTGGAGGGTGATATTTATCACAGCGACTTAACGCTTGCGATTCAACAACACTACAAGAAATGTCAGATGGCGCAAGTACCAAGTCCAAAATTTTGTTATGGTCATTTAATATGAAGTTATATTGGTTCTATTAATAAAATCAGTCAGAGCGGAAATTTTGCGGTTTCTACTTAAGGAAGTACACGGAGTAAACCAATTAATGTCCGGCAAGTTAAAGTCTCCATTAATTAGAATATGAGAGGCTGATGATGTCGTAATAATACGCTCACAGTTGTCCAGAAATGCGATATAGTCCATGTCACTGATATACGAGGGCAGATAAACAGTACAAATATTCAACTGAAAATTATGCAATTGAATGGTAACCCATATGTCCTCCATTTATAAATTTATTATAAATTACATTTATAAATATGAAACTATAAACTAACATTGTAGCTAAGTTCTGTAAAAGTAACAAATGGATCTATATTGTCTTGAATGAAGAACTATTATTATAACAGATACTTCGTTTTTTATTTTTTAACATTAGAAGAGTTAATGTATACTTATAGATTGCAACACCCTAACAAGTCAGTCTGTAATTTTACCTCAGTGTTCCAGTCATAGTTTTAAAATTAACTCGAGCAAGCAGAGTGAAGCTTTTTTAAACTAAATAATTAATAAAGTAAATTACTTTTAGAAAAACCGCGAGGTTCTTGTTGAATATGTGTGTTTGCATCGGCTGCTGCAGAATGTATGTGGGTTCCACAGTAGTCACAAGCTGATCTATGTTGTCGAGAAGGTCTGCTTGAAACCGTTCATGGCGTGACATCTGAAAACAATCATAATGTTAAATTTCAAGTAAAAATTAAAAGAAAATTTTAGAGCTATGAAGGATATTGGCAAGTTGATAGATATGTCCATATGAAAATACTATTTTAACACTAGGAAAAATATTGGCAAGTTGATAATGACTACGTGAATGCACATTATCGTCATCAACCCATTTATACGTCTCACTGCTGGGTATGGGTCTCCTCTCAGGCGAGGGTTTAGGCCATAGTCCGCCATATTGGCCCAATGCGGGCCAGGGATTTGATACGTTTTCCGAGGGTTTGTGATCCTTCTTCGACGTGCAGGTTCCTTCACGATGTTTTCCTTGACCGAAAAGCTCATGGTAAATTTCACACATTTATTCCGAGAAACTCAGAGGTGCGAGACCGGATTCGAAACTACGGCCTCTGTTTGAGAGGGTCAAAGGGTGAGTAGGTCAAACCATTAGGCTAACAAGGCCTATATTTACAATCTTATATACGTGAATTGTTTGTATAAATAGAATAAATCACATTTCGATGGTTTTCTAGAATAGCGGCGTATCTCAAAAACATCTTATTCATTAGGATGATATTTTTAAAATAACTAAAACGTATCGTGAAAAGCTGACGAATCATACACTAAATGAAAAATAGCGATATAAAATCAATTAAAATACAGTGTCAAATTAATTTAACAGGTGAGTGTATTCTACTAACAATCCTTTTTAGTTTTATGTCTAGTTCGTCTAGAGTGAAATAGGTTACTCCTAGTTATATCACAAAAATTTAAATAAATACAAAACGTGTTACAGAGCTAAAACGTCACCTTTATTCTGCCAGTGTTAATCAAATACTGCGCCATGCTCTTCGTAATAATATCGAAGAAGAAGCTGGAATACTGCATAAACTTGTGCCCCAGAAGAAAATCCTGTTGATTAGGGTCCACGAACATGTGTAACGGCGCTGTCAGTACTGTGTGCAGCTTGAATTCAACGCAGTTGAATACGTACTGCGAAATAGATACCGTGTTATTCAAAATTATGAAATATTAATTTTACTAGCAGTAGAGCTGCTTGTGAAAGAGTTCGTCCAGGGAAGTACTGCCACCTTAACCATTTCTGCCGCCAAGCAGTAATGTCAGCATTACTGTTTTCGGCAGTGACAGTGCCCCTTAGATCTTTGTGATTTAAAGCTCTGAGTGGCACAGCACCTGTTATGGACAAGCGTGTAGCTTACTGTCAGGCGCACGACTTGTTCGTCTCGTCACTTGATATTATAAAATAATAATAATAATAATAAAAACGCACACACTCAACATAGCCCTGTACTAAGGAAACTCTGTGACGCGGATGCCATGGACACACACGATATATACATTTAATTTGACGTGCAGTGTAAGTATATAGTTAGTCCACCTATTAAGTTTGATACCTTGAAAATTAAATCGATTATAGATATCAATTTCTATACAATACAAAAATTTAGATATAACTGCCTCCGTGGCCGAACGGTTACCATGCCGGACTCCTACGCAGAGGTCCCAGGTACGATTCGCTGGCCGGGAGAAATAGTTGTATGGCCTACAATTATTTCTCTCGTGAGTTTGGGTGTAATTTGTGGTTGTCTATACAACTCGGCCTGGGAATCGAACCCAGGACCTCTGCATGGTAACCATTCGGCCACAGAGGCAGTTAATAATAGATTTTAATAGCATTCAGCGGGGCGTACTAGATGTATCCAACACATTAGCCACGTTTGCGCCCAATGCCGTACCGAATTTGCGGCCTAAGGCTCTTGTTGTTGTATTAAACGCGTCGTTACCTGTAACCTGTCTACTTTTAAATAATAGAGCATATAAGAGTAGGGGCTCACTTACCTTGACATAACTATCAAGGAGATCTTTTCGTCCATAATCGTGTATCATGTGGACAAAGTGAATTATCAACTTTACGATTTGGTACCCCATGTCGTTCGAGTAGCTCTTTTCCACAGTCTGGTAACAAAACGTAAAAATATCTTAACATGAACTCAAGGTCTACTGAATACGCATAAATACTGTACAGGTTTATTTGTAATATACTAACAACCTTGCAGGACTATATTACAAACATTGTAAACAACACCTTTGTTCCAAGTCTTTTTACAAAACACAATAAATTTATCAAAAAGAAACTTTCAAGTTTTTGTCGAACTATCTAACACTTTTTATACCTATCTATATTTGGTACTAAGTTCAAACGTGCAAGCGTCCTATCCGACGACCCCCACTTTCTTTTGGTTACTGCACAAAGTAATTACCGTTTAGAGCGAAAGTAAAATTTGATGATTTATTAAAATGTCATGGAAGAAATTTGTTGTTTATGATGTAAGTAATATAGTCATGGGAGGTTGTTAGTATTTACAAATAACCCTGTATATATAGGTTAAACTAAAAGGTCCAATCGCGTCGCTATTAATGATTGTAGTCATGATAAGTGGCACAACAATTAAACAAACAATTATAAAAAAATATCAATAAACATATAAGTCAACCAGTTCATAATGTGCGCTGTCAAATATACATTATATTATAATTGTCATATAAAATTGCCAAATTTTGCTTTCACGAATTTAACACAATTTTCTTGCTTCAAGTATTGGTTATTTTGGGCATAATCGATACGATGAAATAATGTACGTGCAACAAGATTTGCCGATTTAGCACTTACCATCAACTCAAATAACTGATTCAGTATAGTTGGCAAGAAAGCAACGAGTGAGCTAAGCTTGATCGCATGCGCAGCTTTCAACGCAGTCAGCACATCATTCCACGGTGGAGGCGACGGTGACATAGGCGGAGAATTGGATTTGATCAGTCGTTCCGCCTGGCTGAAGAGGTTGTGCAAGTGAGAATCGCGAGTAGCCACTGTAGAGTCCAATACTAGTTGGCATCGGAAGAGCTGTTTTTCCCCTTCCACCCATACGACGTCGGGACCGGCATTCTGTAAGTAATAAATTAAATATTAGCGAGCATATAAGGAATAAACAACAAGGGTATTAATATATAAGGGCAAAACCTACGACTGGACTAAGTTCGTGGTTAAATGTGAAAATATAATAAAAATTAAATGAAGAACAAATAGTTCCATGCATTCAGAACTCAATAGGTATTTCTTACTTCACATTTTAGTAGCACCTGCCAAGCAACGTACTATGGACATATTTGCTAAAAAGATAAGAACATCTCCCTACCACTGACTTTAACTGTTGTAATTTATCTGTAAAGTTTATTAACACACGTAAAACACAGTTCAGTTCTGATCACTTTTACGCCTGCTTCCCACGGCCTGTGATATTGAATGTCGCGCAGCGCCATCGCACCGTGGGGAGAGTGCAGTCCGTGCCGGCGTGGACTCGCTTGTAAGAGTCTGTTGAATCCGCTCTGTGTCGGTAACTACAAAGGCGTGGCCCGACAAACCGTCGGGATTTACTTGTGGAGCGAGCATCGCCGTAAAAACCGGCACGGGGCGGTCTGTGAAATCACAGGCCGTGGACCCTCTATGTTCATCGGAGTTGATTGATGAAATTAAAAACATAAATCGAATACAACTTACTTATTACTTTTTATTTATAGTAAATATCGTAGCTTAGCAAACAACACTGTTCAAGTAATTTAGTATTGTTTGCTAAGAGACGAAATGTAAAGCTTACCCCTTTTCCGAGTCCAAGAGGTTGTATGGCAAGATACCCTGACGGCAGATGAGTGGCAATAGGCAAGTTCACAATTTCATCTATGACTTTATCGTTTCTTAACAATGGCACCCATGCATATCTAAAACATACGTTGAACGGGGATTAGGAACAAAGGCAATTTCAGTTGAAATGTAATGTCACAACTAACAACGTTGGTTGGAATTCCTCTTATGGAAAAGAGATGTCCATACTTACCCAATGCAAGTCTCAACATTGGTGGAATTCTTTGCAATATCACAGGAGATGTGGTGGAAGATGAACAGCAGGTGGTGCTGTGGCGTGATGGTGGCTGGCAGACGGATTTTTACCTCGTCGCACCATGTGGGGTTTGCGTTGTGATGCAGCACGGAGCAACGGTGTTGAGTTTTCATTCCTACACGGCCGTATACCGCCTGTTTATCAAAGACATTTATGCAATTAAATGAATATTTAGTTTTCCCACTAACATGATGTTTTAAGACAGGATTGAGTAATTTTTGGACTGCGAATTTTCTGGAATGGACACTCACCGAACAGACACGACACTGACCGAAAGGAATTAGTTCCGTTTGCACGATTTTAATAGTTCATCTGTCTCTTTAGTTCATTTATTATGTGTTTTAAATAGCATAAAATAGTACTAAGATTTCATATGATAAACCACTTACTTGCAAAGGTTTACTGTCACCCGAATCGCTCTCTCTCAATTCAATAGAGCAGGCAATATTCCGTGCTCTGGCGAACATTTTCTGTGATTCGAAGTTGAGTGATAGAGGGCGCACGTATAAATGGTGCACGTAAGCTGCATATGGCTGTTCGGGTTCCACGTTCAGAGTTGCTAGTTCGAGGGTTAGCGGCGATGTAGGCGGGAGTGGAAACGGCTTCAGAGCGGCGTAGGAGCTGGTCATACAATCTAGACAAGTGATTCATATGGTCAGTTGATTCATTAGGAGAAATGTAATGGTAACGTTGATTTACAACACTAACGAACTAGTCTTTTTATGATATTAAGCGACAGGACGAACCTGTCGTGCGCCTGGTGATTATGCGACACACCTATCCTAGACAGTTGCGGTGCTACGCAGAACTTTAAATCGCAAAGATCTGAGGGGCAATAAATACCCTTGCGCCCGTCACCCTGAGACATAAGTGTCATGTGCCTGTAATTTCACCAGCACCCTTACTCTTCAAAACCCGAACACAGTAATGCGGATATTACTGCTTGGAGGCAGAAATACGTAAAGTGGCAGTACTACCTTGGACGAACTCTTTCACAAGAAGCTCTACTGCTACATAAAAAATGTGGTCCATCTCATGGATTTAATGGGGGCTATTAGTGACGCGGTCGGCGTGGCCGAGTTCTGGGCCATAGCAGTATAGTGCATGCCATCGATACGATAAGAAAATCCATCGCTGAATTCATACATATATGTATAAACATCCATGCCCTTTTCCCACAAATAGACATCAATTATAAAACTAAACATAAAAATAAATGTATGCATACTTGGTATCGATTCGTTGCTCTGCTGAATATTAATACTGAGCCATCCGGGTATGACCGTGAGTTTAGACAATTTCTCTGGTTTGCGGAAGTCCGATAGAATTTTGAGCAAATCTTCGTCGGACATTTTATTCGGCTCTTGGCGATAGATGGCGGCAAATTCGGGTGTTGTATCTAAGTCGTTGCTGTACAACCTAAAATCATAATTGATTTGACATTATCTGTTACATTAAGAAACACAATGTTACTTTGTGCACATGGTTAAAATAGTTTTTTTTAAATACTAATTTTAGTAGCATTAAACAACTAAAATAGTCATTAGATGTTCTAGGATAATGGGCGTTTAGATATTATTTCAATGAAAATTAGATGCCACTGGCAGGCTATTTGAATGCTTAGATTATTTATTGACAATGATGTTGTGTATTTTTATGAAATAATATTATAAAAAACAAATACACCAAAAATATAAAATAGTCATTGTAAGCAATACTTTTATGCTTTATCGGTCATGACTTTATACATTCATGGAGATATTTTTTGAGGAACGCTAAAAAGATTGAATTATGATAACAATGTTCACATGAACCACTGGTCACATATACCAGTGCCTCTACTATGAGATCGTTAGTGACCGCATAAAAAGTTTGTATAATGTTGTTTCTTCTTGTGATCATACAAAATTCTGAAGTAATTTATGCGGTCCCTAGTGACAACTGTCGCAGTAAACTCAGGGTAGGGGCACAGAATGTTTAATTCGACAAAAATACTTCTATCGTCTTTTAATTTATATTAAACATTTTGTTATAGTAGCCAGTGGTTGACATGGAGTCCCTTCGAGACCATAGACGTTGCAATACGTCCGAAACGTCGAGGTAATTAAAATATGTTTTATATGTGATTAAGTCCCGAATTAAAATTCAAATAATGTGTGAAAATCGTGAAAGTTGAAATTAAAGGACATAAATGTTATCTCATGTTTCAACCTCTTTTAGGGTACCTCTAACTTTTTCCAGGAGTATATTTTTAGTATAAAATAAACTAGTCTCATACACTATTGAATCGTAGAAATATGTACTTACTTGAATAATGGTTTAGCAGCCCAAGCAAATGGCATTCGATAAGTTCCAACTCGATTTGCATAAGCCTGCACAGTTTTGTGGACCTTGAGTCCTAAACGGGGGTCTTTTGTTGCCTTCTGATAAGGTTCCAAAACTTGATTCACATGGCCTTGTAGGATTTTGTCAATTTTAACTACTAAGAATAGATCCGCGTGTGGATTGTTCACAGAGAGAAGAGCCTGTAAAGACGTATTAGTGAAGCAGGATGTATGTTGGGATCAAACAAAATCACCGTAAGGATATGTGCCCCTGATCTACATAATTCGCACACGAAGGCAAATTCTGTCGTAACTCAAAATTGTGGAATTAAGAAATAACGATTTGAAAATAAAATAATCTAACCTTCCAAAAGTCAACATCCCCTAGTTTACCACCCTTAGAAGTGGAATATTTTCTTCAAATTTAAATGGGACCACTACTGAGGTACCTTCTTTCCAACAAAGAATCATCAATATTGGTTCACAAATGGCGGAGTTATCGCGTAACATACATACAAAAAAAACATACAGACGAATTGAGAACCTCCTCCTTTTTTTGAAGTCGGTTAAAGAGTTAATTAAACCAACATTGTGTTTTTTTTAAATGGGACTTTTGGGGTAATCTGAAACCATACAAGGATACAAGGAAACTGTTTTAGGAACCATTAAGTTCTTTTTTGTAAAAACAATTGTGGCATAGACAATTCTTTGATCAAGCGTCTGTTGTCCATGAAAAGGAATAAAATTGATCAAAATTTTTATAGTGCTGATCGATTCAGTTTGCTCGCTTGACTAAAAAATTGCTATGCCAAAATTGATTTCACAAAAAAACAGTTTCATGTACCTATCTTCTATGGTTTCGGATTTCCCCATCCTGTCCCATTTAAAAAAAACTGTATAACTTACTCGTTTATTAATGTATAATCGTTATAAGTGTTTTGTATAAATAAAAAAAATCACATTTTTCGCAATAAGACCCATTCAGTACTTTTTAAAATTTTCAGATTGTGTTTTTTCAATTCCACAATTTTCAATTACGACATTATTTGGTTTTATGTGTGATGTCTTACAAGACATACGAGGTACATCTTGCAATCGTTCAGATTCACGATTAAAGATTTCAACTTAACTAAATCATGAAGGTGTTTTTGTATAACGCATGCATTTTCATATTATGTAATGTATACAATAGTTATTAATGAACTTACTTGTTTTTTCGACCGAAACCAGTCATCTGGTATTTGATTAATGTCTAACTTAACGTCGTAGCTAAAATTTTCAACTAATGACTTTGTGCACTCTGTATCCTTGACTAGATCCTTCACCGCGTCATGATTAAGATCGAAGTGGAAGTTTTCAGTGAGTTTTCTGCCACTCCTCGCGTCGTACAAGGCGAGGTGTGTGTAATACGGCTCCACTTGGCACAACAATTCTTTATCGCCATCTATAGGCGCTTGTAACCTAAACTTAAAACTTTCGCATTTGAGCAAAATTCTTTGGCCAAAGTGTTCTCTGAAAAATGAATTACAATAGATAATTAACATGTTATCAGAAGTAAAGACATTCTAAATAGCAGTCTAGGGCCAAGTTCTAAATAGTGGTCACTGTATTCCGATTCGTAATCTCTTTGTTTTGACTTTAAACATATAATAGTCGAGCCTATAAACATGCATCAGTAAACTCGGACGTGTGTGTATGTTGAGATCAAACATAATGAACGCAATGTATTGTGACGAACACGATAACGCAGGGCAGTGTGCTATTGAAGGATACACTACTAAATACTACAAAAAATAATCTGAAATTCATTCAATAGACTTACTTGAACGGTTCCAATTGAGGTTCAGGTGAAGGCGCGCGCTTGTATGGCAGATTGAATATATTAGTGCGGCACTCATTTCGAGCGGCGGCAATGGACAGATCCGTCTCCCTGGAATACCGCATCAAGAGCGGATTCATACTGTGTTCTAAGCCTTTCAGAGTTCCGTATGTAGGAGGTGGGGGCTCTGCTGTCAGGGAAACATCGGCATCTATAATTAGATGATGATGATGTAATTAGATGGATTACTTAAGTAGCTGTCACATCACAATGATTTTTAATGGTGAACAACTTTAACAATGAAGGTGGTTTTTAATATCAGTTACCTTTATCCAAAGCTTCATCATTTTGATGAATCTCTTGGTCACTAGGACCTTTTTTCAACGCAGCTTGAAAGGCATTGATCCATTCATTCATATCGTCTTCATTATCCGAACTGAACGTGTACCCTTTCCCGCCCGCCATCCGCAGTTCAAAACAATACTTCCCGCGCTTTGGATTCTAAAAATAAACAATACCAAAGGTCGCAAGATAATATCGGGAAATTACCGCTGTATGAAGGATGAAGCGTGGACAATGCTGTATCAGTTCCGTAACAGTGCTGCATTAATTTCAAAAATAATATTAGGAAATATAAACTTACCCTAACGACATCTGAACAAAAATCCATAACAATCGTGAGCTTTGTATCCGTCTTCTTGTCATCCTTATAAACTTCCAAGATATAAGTTCCATCAGCTTCCCTAACCATTGAGCAATACCGTTTCTTGAAAGATTTCGACGCGAGATTGCTGAATATCCGTTCGGAACCGATTTCAGGGCCTTTGAGCAAGTAACCCTCTTTGGTGCCAGCATCCACCTTAGCAGTTTGAGCTTCATTATCACTTTCAATTTCCGCATCCAAGTCGTATACTTCCTCAGGTAGTTTGTCATTCAATGGCCTGAGTATATATAATGATATGTTTAATAAAACTTCCTTCTCATTCAACTACTTAAAAGATCAACTATGATCTTATCTGCATTGTAATCTTGTAGGTTTGTAAACATAGCAGATCAAGTGTTACAATTTACATAATAATGAATGGGTCTTTTTCATAAATAATCACTCCTGGCACTCCACTTTACATAGCGTTAAATATTTATTTTAAACACACTACAACATTGTGTTTAAAATAAATAAATGAATGTTTATTAAATTATTCCCATTTCAGTCTGAGCTTAGAAATGATTCATGTTACATCCTATGTTTGGCCTTGGAAAAATTGTATCAATGTTTAAAGGTTTATGTGTGCTCTCACGGCCGTGAAATGAACGTTAATTGTTTCGCTAATTAGATGCCGAGCTGTTTTGTTTGGATTTTTAACACATATCGCGCAAACTGTGCGTATTAGTAACGCTTTGGATGTCTGACGATAGAATTGATCTCGTTTTTCTCTTCTATTAATAGAACTGATTTACACAAACGTGTTCTGCAAGAGCGCATATTAGCAGACTTTTAAACACTACTACATGGTTTAGCATAGTCCGAAAGCGAAATTTTTAATATTCAGCATTTTATTAGTATTTCGAAAAAAGAAAGAGTCACTCTCCTTGACTAACTTTTGTACGGCTCTATAGACCATTAGTATTAATTACGTAATCTCACCTATTTATTGATTAAATTGCTAAATCAGAATTGATGTGTTTTAGTTAACTGGGTTTATAAATTAATTAATTATAAGAGAAATCATAATGTGACAATAACGACTTTAATTCAGTTTATTGTAAAATAAAAAGATTAGTTTATTTTTACTATTGTGATTATTAATACGAGTAATATCAATGAACAAAAATGCACTAAACAAAATCAACACACGCCATGATTTTTGTGTGAAACTTAGATAAATGTTTTTACCTAAACTGTGTAACTAAATATAGATTTTTCCTTTACAATACAACTTCCTTATAACGTCATTGATTAACATATAGCATTTAATGCTGTTGCAGTTTTGTTCAATAAGAGCAATTAGGTAAACAGGAAAAACACATAAGCAGTTTTTTTCAGTTTAAATTAATACTCCACACCATTCCCTTACATAAGTTACTAACTGTGTGTAACGACGTACACCCTTCGCCTGCGTGGAATAAGTACTTCGAGTAGCCTACTGTACTTAACTAATTTTCATATTTACAATTTTTCATCCCCTATTTCAACCCCTTCAAGATTTATTTTTGTGACAAAAAGTAGTCTATGTCCTATCCAAAATTCATCAAAATTGGTTCCCCATTTTTTAAGCGTTAAATAACAGTCAGACAGAGTTACTTTCGCATTTCTAATATTAGTTTGGATTATATTATTTATAAAGCTACCTTTCCTATCTACCTTCTAAGGTAATATAACACGCAACAAGCGCATAGTTGACCTCCCACATTATGTTAACAATACGACGCATGTGTTGTGTATCAGTGCATTGAGTTGTATTGGATTTCATACCAACAATATTAAAAATTGACACTCATTATGTAGGCTGGTGAACGAATTACCGTTTACGTCGTAAACTTGTATAAGAAGAAAAGAAATACACACCTTGGCAAGTTAAGATAAGTCCCAGAATAACTGTTATACTTGTAATGTATAAGATTCCAACTGGAAGCATAGCTGAGTAAAGCTTGGCGGGTGAGCAGGGGACAGGTTGCAGCTGTCCTAACATTTGGTACTGCTGTGGTCACTGTTCTCCATCGCCTTGGCAGGACTACACTCTGTATGGAGATAAATATGTGAGGGGCTACTATAGCATTCCCGCCGTCAGCATGCTATAGGAGATTATGTGAAGTGGGACGAAGATAAGAGTATAAGCGCGATGGTAAGATGTAATAAAATGGTAACTATTAAGGGTGTTTCCATTACAGTATTACATTCTAGTTCATGACACAGTGTGTAGGTCTTGTATTCTTGTAAATAGCAATTTAACAATTAATCATAATATGGAGAATGAAACTATTTTTTCGAATCTAAATCGCGTATATTTGGTTGTTCAATAATATTTTGGGTCCTTTACAGATCCCAATACACGGCAGATTGTGATGCATATAGCAGACGCCACACACCGTCGCATAAAAAAGTCGGTAGCCGGTGTGCATGTCATGGATAAATTTACACATTCAGTTGAGCTTGACAAACCCGAGGTCCTAGTAAAATAAGTAAATTTTCGACCCCGGATGTTGCGAGGTCATTGAAATTTAAAAAAATATTCTAATTACAACATCGCGCCATTAGTTTGGGATCAAACGTTTCCTCTGAAGAAAAATTCCAAGCAGACATACGATCGCAGCACTAATTAATGTGTTGACATATTTCTTATTTGCACTATTTAATTAATTTAAAAAATGTAATTTAGAAAAATTCATACTGTTCAAATGAAATAAAATATTTTGTAAAACATATGTAGCGTAAATTGGAATGTTTAAGTAAGGTTTCATTACTATCTTTTGTAAATAAAGTGAAAAACTATGGTGGTATGCATTATTTTTAATTTAATTAGATATAACTGGTTGGTGACTTTACCATCTCAGTCAGCTGTGGAGCAATGGGTAATTTGAAAAACAAAATCATAAGTTATTTATACGTAAAAAACCAGTTTCACTTCCAATGAGTGACCAAACTAACAATTGCGAAAACCTAAGAACTCAATAAATTAATCATATGTGCAATATTTGCTCAGCAGTGGGACAGTATAGGCTCATAATAATAATTATTGTTAACATACTGGAGGCATTGTATACTGTATGGAAAGTATTAAAATGCATTTGTATGAGAATATTAATTAAAATTTATATTTCATAATAGTTTGTTGAATATCGGCAATACAAAAACTATTTCAAATATATTTACATAAAAAGAAGTAAAAACGCTCATATAAATTAATCTTATCAGAAATTAATGTCCTCTAAAATATAAGTACATTGTTCCCAATGATAACCTTTTGTTTAGACTATAATGCATGCACTCATTAGAAAAGCCAGATAAATAGTCAATAAAAGTTTCCTTTTTATTTGTGTACCAATAAATGTAGATACATATCACAACTCTCAAAGATGAGGGGTATTAGTGAAAAACATTGGAGTTATAATAAGTTGCCTATGTTACAAAGGATATAATTTGGTAATCACCACTACTTCTTTAAATTGATTCAAGTGATTCTGAGATTAATTTAAAAAAAGCATATAAAAATATAGGAAATGAAACAACTTTTTTAGTGCAAAAATAATTGCGCATTTGACCTCCATCTCACCTGATGGAAGTGATGATTCGGTCGACAGTGTAGCATGCACACCTGAATAATGCCTATTCTCTCACCTTGAAAAGATCCAACTAAAAGCATTTAGGGAATAAGTCCACAGGCAGGGAATTGCATTTTTCAGATCTAAATCACATATATTTTTTATATTTTTTTGACAAACAAACCTACATTTCGGGCCCTTTACAGGTCCCATGGTAATGAATGACCATGACATTTGCACATTTAAGTGATTTACACCCGAATATTATAGTTTCTTTTCTTATGTGTAATAATCTCGAAAACCTAAGAAGTCTCCACACAAAAATAAATAATTACTCCTTATAAAATATATAACATAGGTTTATATTTATAGCCATTTTTGTTGGCATTATATCATTTAAAGTATATATTCCAATTTCAGATTGAAACAAAGCAATTGTGAAATCTAATTTTGCATTAAACATTTTAGTTCCAATTGGATTTAGTACCATTTTGGTAAATTTGTTTGTTATTTCGAATGTAAACAGAACAGTGAAAAAGTAAATAACACTTACAGACACATCATCAGTGGGATAAATAAGTATTTCCCTAAGCGGGTCATTCAGTAGTAAAGTCTTGTTTTCTTGAATATACCTCTCAAAGTCTAGTGCTGTGCATTTTGTGGGTATTATATTCTGAAAAAAATTGGTCATATAAATTTGTTTTTTTTTTATGGTAATAACCACATTATAGTAAGCAATTATGTTTAGTATAATAAAACAATACATTATGTTTCTGTCATTATTATATGACATTTACTTAATATTTTTACAACACAAGTAAAACAAATTAATAGCACAAAATATAAATAATAAACTTAACACAATTCATAGAACTGTTATTAATGATTATTTGAAACCAAACATATTTCATTATGAGTGTGTACACATTAGCCGAATGTATTTCAACGTTGTTTACTTTACTGGATAGATAATGTTATGTAAATAGAGAGACTGCAGTCTCACGGTTATTTATTTTATTACATTGTAAGGAAATTTATGGTCTAGTACAAAAACCCTACCTACGACAGAGAATTGGCAGGTAGCATTCTGAATAATCGAATATTGTAAGAAAAAACACAATCGTCACAACTAACTAAACAAAAAACATTCTGCTATAAATGGGTTGAGATGGTTACTGCTTTCACTTTGAGCGCAGCATTAAAACATTTATGACAGACGCACGCTTAGAGGCTGAGTAGGCTTGGGAGTATAATGCACGCCTATTTTTAGTTTACCTCTAAATTTTAACACAAAACTATAATTTCTAGGACATTACCTCGTATTCTGCGTCGCCGTTTTTCTTACTTTTAGAATTAACCGGTGGCATTGTAAATCCAATTCGATCATAAATAACAACTCGAATGTATACAATGAGAAACAAGTCGTATTAGAAATGTTTACATCTTAAAATAAAACCAATTTTCGTTAGCAAACGCCGAAAATTGTGCGCCCATCTACGAAAACGAAAATCCAACGACAATTGATATGACAGGTTGACCATAGAGCAAAATATCACAGAAGTTAGTAGTGTTGCTGTAAAATAAATGAAATTGTTGTACGGTACAGACTAGCGTTTTTAATATGTGAGAAACATAGGGCATTCTCCTGCAAAGTATCGATACCTGTACTCATAAAAGTATCGAAAGTGTCCTGCACATTTTTTCAACTTACAGGCAGAATAAAACACATGAATTTGTCTTTTTTATTGATTTATGATTTTTAATTGAGACAAATAATACTAAAATTTGATTAATTAAATTAGTTGATCAATTCAATCAATCGTTAAATCACATAATTTGTGTTACTAAATTTCCAATTTACCACTCCTCTATGCAATCACTTATAAAGAAAAATCTATTTGACGACCGTCTGTTTCTCGTTTTTGATACTGTATTGTTCCTTTATTTTTTTCCCTTCCTCTAAGCTGTATTGCTTGCTTTTGAGAACGCACGTTCTGAAGAAGGGACTAGCTTCTTTTAAAGAGGTAAATGGTGGCATATAGAGGTGGGTGATAAATAACGTCATGATGAAAAAATCACGATGATCCGCCGTCAAACAGTATCACCGTGACTCGTTCCAAAGGAACGACGTTCCAAAGTCACATAGGTGTTCCTCCGTTCCAATAGCTATCCCCGTCACTCACATCACGACATACGTATTTGATACAATGCGCGATCTCCGTTCCGTGGTGACTGAGCTCCGTTACGTGGCCACTCGTCGTAGTTCTCTTCAAATCGGGCCATTTCGGCGATGGGAATGAATGAAATAGGATGACTTTCTTTGCTCACTCACAAGGGTCGTAGGTGCTTATTATTACTAGAAAGGGCGGATGAAAAAAATCTGCAGCAGTTATTATAAACCTATTTATGTACAAAGTAAAATATTTTTGTATATTTGTTTTATTATAGGAAGAGTTGGTAATTTATATTTATGTATAATCTACTTTGTGTATTCTACTAGAAATATAATTACATTACACTTTATTGCTATTTTAAACAATCCAAAGATTCGCATTAAATAAGTAACAAACAAAATTACATTAAATACAAAATCAACTTTTTGAATGGAATTGAAACTTATTACAAAGTTAGTAAAAACTTAAATCATTCTATAAAAAACGGCTATAAGTATTAGAAAGAAGCCGCTCTGGCTAAAACCGTATATAGTGATGTAAGTTATAGGCGTGACAAGGTCACGGAAGTGACAGTCGTGACAAAATCACGATGATTTTTTTGGAGCCGGAACGACAGTTACGGCGATAGAAATGTTATTCTACGCTATTCCCCATGTCTAGTGGCATATTGCCCGTGTGACTACTTGTAGTTCTGCTGGTAGTACAGTCAAGAACACATCAAGCTTGACACTTTGTACTTTAATAACGCTCACAATCAACATAGCCCCGCACTAGGAAAACGGCATAAAGTTGGATATAACTCTTAAAGTTGGATTTAACTTTTAACTCTTATTTAACCACGGGCAACAAAGGTACAAAAAACATAAACAGACAAGAATTTGTGATAAACATTGCCATTTCAAAAAAATCGCTAGGTGGCTTGCGTTATGATATAAGGTCTCCTAAGTAGGAATTATTCGAAGTGATACGATACTTGTCAAAAAGTATGTACGTACATACATATAATACTAATACCTGAAAAGTATCGAGTACAAAAGTTTCAGTATCGGAGGGAAAAGTACTCGATACCAAAAAGTATCGATACTTTCCGTAATGCAGTATTATGAATGTAGTCGAAGCGTACAAGCCATCCTGCAATCCTGCAATGCTGTCTACGGGACTCCATACGTGGGCCATGTGCAGGTAAATGATTATCACTAATATCAGGTTTCTTACCACGGTATGACTTCTTTTTATTTTCCCGATATTTCGGAACGGTTGTACGCTCCATGGTCACGGGTTGACTAGACGGCGGCAGATGACAGCTTTTGCTTTTGTTACTTTAGATTGCCTGTTTGTTTGTATATTTTGATGATTGATGTTAACGATTATTTTGAGATAGTGTTGATCTTGTAAGCATACATATTATCGATATCTGTTATTAAAACAATTCACTACGAGGTTTTTATTGTTTTATTATTATTATTTTTATTATTTCAAGTTTTCCTACAAATGAAAAAGAAAGAAAGAATGTTGGAAATCATAGGACTGCCGAATATAAACGTTGGATCAAAGACCATCTTCATTTGTTCTCTTCATTTTGAAGAGTCAAATTTTAACAGAACTTTGAATGGAGCTAGATTACATGACAATACTATTTCATCATTAGGTTTATTGGTAAATAATTTTATGTTCAATTTAGATTAAACAAGACCTGTAATTAGTTATTCTCAGTTCCTGAAAACAAAATTATCCACTCGTTTCTAATTTTTCCCAATGACAACTCTAACTATTAAAAATGACTATTTTTTAAAGCCTGCAGTACAATGACATCGTCGGTTAAAAGGTAAAACTCATTAAGTGACATTTTGTTCAAAAACTAGATTTTTTCAATTTTGCTTTATTGGGAAGAACATCTATGACAAGAAAAATTCAGTAAGTCTGTGGTGTCCTTCATGTTTTAATACATACCAGTCCTTTAGTGATTTTTCATAGTGAAAAAATACAAAATCTTAATTATCTCCCTTTGGCCAATTAGGCTATTAGTGAGTTTTACCTTTTAACCGACGACATGTTAGTCCAACGTTGCCGGGTAAAGGCCAATACCAACGTATAGATAGCCTATTTCCGTTGCCTTGCCATCGTTCGGTTTAATAATAATATACCACTCGAGATTAAATTATTAGACTTGTGTTTGTTTAGGCATACTTTGGTTACAGTAAACTAAAGAAACAAAAAAAAACAGTTTCAACATTTAAGCCACACATTTGCGTGTCGATAATGACTTATCGATAGATTATGTACAACACTAAAGAAATCCGACATTTGTAACTTTCAAATTTTGGTAATAAGCACCAAAGAGGATCTAATCACTATCTAAGCACGTTGATTCTGTAGTTAGGGTTGCTCCTTTTTAATTTTTTTTCCATCCTCTAAGAACATTATGAACCCGCCGCCATTCTGTCAGCAGCATTAACAATAAAATAATGGAATTGATATGTTGATGACGTATTTTGCGTAATGGAAGGAAAGGAGCAACATATACAAAATGATTTAGCACGTCTTAACAACACCCATAACAAAATGAAGTTCACTTGTCAAATTGAGAAAAATCGCGCGCTTGTATTTTTGGATGTATTGGTCAGTCCGACAAGACGGTTCACTCGGTCATTCTGTGTACAGAAAGAAAGAAGAAGAAAACCAACTCACACGGACAAATATTTACACGCCACTACACATCATTACCCAAAACACCTACATTCGGTCATCATGTCAGTAACCAATAGAGCTTATGATCTTTGTGATGCACACCACCTACCACAGGAAGAGGAGCACGTTAAGACGGTTTTGCGACAGAATGGATACGAAATAAAAACATTTAAACGAATACACAAAAGGAAGAAGCAAATTGACGTACAGAGACTACCAGTTTTTCTGCCCTATGTACAAGGGGTGACTGATAAAATAGCCAGGTTGCTAAGGAAGTTTTCCATAAAAACTGTTTTCACCTTGGGAGCTCGTGTATCGGTCAGACTAAACGAACAATTGTCGATCGTATGAAAGAACACATCCGAGCAGTAAAACAACAATGATGCACAGAAGTCGGCTATAGCACAACATCTCACACAGACTGACACTAACCACTGGATCGAGTTGCATAGCCCCCAGGTACTCTCGACAGAACGTCACTAAATACCACGGTTGGTACGAGAAGCCATCGAGATCACGAAGCACAAAACATTTAACCGTGATGATGGTTTTAAACTGTCCAGTTCATGGAATCCGGTCCTTAGTGCAGTAATAAAAACAAAAACATCTCGAGTTCAGTTTCGCATGTGGATATAGTGAGTGTGGTTTGTGTGAAAAAAGTGAGTGACAATGGTAACGCCACAACAAATCGCGATGAAGGCAGTCGTCGACAGCGCAAGAGGGTAGACAGATAGATATGTCTGCTCTTAAAGGGTCGTTGTCAGATAACCTCCAAAATTGTGTCCCTTTCAATAACTTTTATGTTATTACATGAATGCTAAGCATTATTTATTTAATATTATTGCTTGCTTGCTTAGTCTGTGTCAGTGTTGGGCAAAATTTAATTGTTCTGGCAATTAAAGATTGACAATTGATTAATTGTCAATTGCGAAACAGCAATTAACGATTGATCAATTGTTAGTTGCGAGAACCGCAATTAACAATTAATCAATTGTTAATTGCGGTTCTCGCAACTAACAATTGATCAATCGTTAATCGCAAATATCTACAATTAACAATTAATCAATTTTCAATCTTTTCAATGTTTTTGATTAACAATTAACAATTAAAACTGACAATTATGATAAATTTATAAGGCATATGGGGGTGAGTTAGGGCGTTGGTTGTGGGGGCCTGTTGCGGGCTTGCTGGGGGCAGGTTAGGGGGCCGGTTGGGGGGCCGGTTGGGGCCGGTTGGGGGCCGATTGGGGGCAGGTTAGGGGGGCCGGTTGGGGGCCCGGTTGGGGTCCCCGGTTGTAGTCCCCGGTTGTAGTCCCCGCTTGGGGTACCCGCTTGGGGGCCCCGGTTGGGGTCCCCGGTTGGGGCCCCCAAGCGGGGACCCCAACCGGCCGGAATCGATTATAATTGCAAATTTAATTGCAATTAAAATCAATTCAATTGAAATCAATTGCAATTAAAATCAATTGCAATTGCGACGCGTCGCAATTGATTTAATTGCAATTGATTTCAATTGAATTGATTTTTTAATCTGATTGAATTATTGATTGAAATTTAATTGATTAACGCCCAATACTGGTCTGTGTTACACATAAAAATACTACTTTACTACGTCAGAGTAATAAATAAAAATTAAAAAAGTGGGCAATTTTTCATTCATGGGAGCTGGTTCCACGTCACCCTAATTTTAAGAAAAGAAGAAAAAAATTAAACACTCATGGAAATCGCAATATTTCCCACCGAGGATAAACTCTAATAACTTTCACGTCGAATACATACCGTAACTTTGCAATTTATTGTAAACAAACATGTTTTCTTGGGAATACAAAATGTGTTTCAATTTTTCTTATCATTAGTGTCAATTCAACTAAAAGCCTCCTAATAACAAAAGTTATTACCGCATCACCTTCACCCTTCGCACACGTGTGAAGGGGCTCCTGTCGGATTGGAGTGTACACAGTGAAGTAACCTTGATGTACAACTTTTACACGAAATAATGTTACGTTTTGAGTTTGTTCATTATTTAACCAATACCAATAGGTAATAAATAATTAACAAAATTAACCTAATTAATTAATAATTAATAAAAGCTTCAATAGAAGCTGATGACTCGCAATAGTCAATGCTCAATAAAAAAATAAAAAAATAATTGTTCTGCTAAAATGGAAAACTTACGCGTCAGATTAAAATAGGAAAACGTAACTTTTTGTAAACATTTATTTAAAAAAGTTAACATCCTATTTCGTACAGCGACGAACGTTTTGTTCGATAGAAAAACAGTAATTTTTGTGCCAGGAATTTTATTTATACTATTTGAAATACTTTTGAAATGTGAGGTGAGTAATAGGTACATAATATTTAGGTATACGTATTCGATACGGTACCTTCTAGTACCGTCAATAGCACGCTGAGCTTAAGTCTTGAAATTTGGGCTGTTTTAATAGGTGGTATATAGTAAACATACTCAAGTATTTCACAATATTAAAATCAGTAAAACTCATGTTTTACTAAAGATACAATTTTTAAAATTAAAAAAGTATTTCAAAAGCACCCTTTGTTTAACACCATAATTTTAAATTTTTTGTGTTCCTTTTTTAAAATGTACATTTAAAAGTAATATTCTACGGCGTATAAATGCCGTTAAAATTACATATTGGGTAACTACTTACTTATGTACAAATACCTTATATTCATAGGCTAATAAACGTTTCTCTTTAGACTTCCACGTCTATCTATCTTCTCGTCGTCTATCTGTACTGCCTAGACACCGGACTAGTCCGGCTAAGTGTAGTGTTGCTTTGTAAGATAATGCGAAATCGTCAGGATTTTAGGTCCTATCCTTCATTAACCTATAAATTATTTTGACTATGTACAATAATATTATTGTTATTTTTTACACAAGTTGTTATTATATTGTATTCCACAGATCAGTCTCCCCTTTCCGAGATGTTGATTCAGATATTTAGATGATACTTTCAACTGCAGAACAAATATTGAGGTAAGTTTATTAGGCACTCATTCGTGCGTGTTTATTCATTAATTGAAACAATGTACATAGAGATCACCCTATAATTTATAGCAGAGTTAAAAACAATGAATTGAGTATTTGAATCGACATCAGTGGAATATATTGTATGCAAACTCACATATAACTTTAATACTTACATATACTAGGCTAGGTACATATAATTTTTGGTAAATGGCACGAGAAATTAGAAATTATTCAATACACCTTTGTTTTACACATTGCTGGGTAAGGTAGTTTATAAAAGGTAACAATATAGCATCGTTGCATAATTTGTACTATTTAATAACAGTTTACTATGATTAACTTCGCACATCAAGTATATAACCAGAAATAGAGACGAAATAAGGGCCATATATTCCTGGTATGTTCCTGGTAACAAATTAGTGATACAGCTCTTATAAATGTCAACTCCCGTTTGCACTGAAATATAGACAGGCCAACTGCTGACCTGTGTGTACGTCGCCGTATATTCCAATAAATATTTTGTATTTATTGTAATAAAGATAATATCTCTAACAATGCCGTGCTGTTCTATTCGGTGGTGTGGGAAAACAGCAAAACATCTAATTACAAAACAAACGGAATCACATTTCATCGGTAATTAAATAATATATTAAACATGTAATTTTGCAATTTTCGTCCATTATAGCAAAGCTCAAGTTAACTGGTTTAGGGATTTGAAGTGAAACAGTTGACGACACCCATTGACGACACCCGTCAATTGTTTCGAACTCGGGCTAGCCAATCGGAGCGCAGTTGTCACAGTAATGATATGGCAGAATAGTTTTGAAACAAATTAAATGACAGTTCGTCTCTAGTTCTGGTTATATACTCGATGACTTCACACTACAAAATGGAATATTCAGCCTATGTACTTCCGAAGCCTCCTTGTCATTGTAACGTCATGCAAATTTAGCACTCTAGCGGGTCGTCGTTCCCGTTAGGCAGGAATGTGAAAGAGACAGATGCAGCAGCGCCGGTGGAGGCAGTGGCGGCAGGCGAGGTACGCGGCAGGTACTGGGAAGCCGGTGTTAGCGCCCTGCGTCAGGTGTACTCTTCCTCGTCCTCATCCTCACTCGACTCTGATTCGGGATCTGGATCAGGAATCGTCGCCAGATAGTCAGCGGGCGGACGTGGCGCCGGAATCAAATACCCGGCCGAGTCTTGAGGTGGGGGAGGAGGTCGTGGTAGCCTTATTTGTGTTGTTTGTCCATTAGTCGTAGACGCGACTTCAAGTTTTCTACAAATTTCATCGAAATTTATTCTATCTCTGGGATCCGACCTCCAGCATTCCCGCATCAGTTCGCAAGCAAACCTTGGGCAGTCTTCAGGTGGTACAAGGACTATTCCTTGTAATATTAGCTTAGTTGCTCCATCATTATTATGTCCGTAGAAAGGTTGCTTCCCGCGACTGTATATCTCCCAAAGGACTACGCCGTACGACCAAACGTCCGACTCGTGAGTGAAACGCGCATAAACGATGCTCTCTGGAGACATCCATCGAACGGGCATGGGTCGTTCGCCACCCATTTTGTAATAATCACAAGTGTAGACGTCGCGAGACATTCCAAAATCCGCTATTTTGACAGTGAGGTTCGCACCAACTAGACAGTTCCTGGCTGCTAAATCTCTGTGCACAAAACGACGCGATGCAAGGTATTGCATGCCCCTTGCAACTTGAAGGGCGACGTGCAATAAAGCGTGATCTTCTAACGTAGGGCCGGGACGTCCGCCGCCACGAGAGCCCCGCAGAACCCCTGCTAAATCTCCCCACTCCATGTATTCAAATACCATCCATGGGCTAGCACTTATGTCATCTGTAAAACAAATATTACATATTTTTATTCAATAGTAAAAGCACAAAAACACAAATAAGACAGTACATTTAGAATACTGACCTCTATAGACGACTCCAACAAGAGTCAGAATGTTGGGATGCCGGAATGCTGACATTATTGACACCTCACGGACGAAATCCTCTTCAGCGCTGCGACCTGCACTTTCTTTCAACACTTTGATCGCAACAACTTCTTCTCCGTTCACCGTACGTAACAATCCTGGCAAACAAAACTATTCATTAAATGAGTGTATTTGTGTAAACAAGTGGGTATTAGGTGTACTGTACATAGTCCAGTGGTACATTAATCCAGGATTTTTAAAAAAGCTGACGAACATACGTAGGTATAGCAGTAAGATAGAGTAAGTATATAAATATTTAAGCAAGATGTCAAAAATCTAACCTTTGTGAACTTTTCCAAAGCAGCCTTCTCCAACCTCTTCTAGAAAATTTAGTGCGTTTCGGTCCAGTAGTGGCACTTCTTCCTCAGTGTCGCCGGTGGTTGCAGTCCCTGACGCCGGCAAACCACTCGGCAAGCTGTTGGCTCCGTATACGCCGTATTGCGGGTTCGTTATATACCGTTCAGCTAGTAAAGGTTCTCCTGGTCGCAAACGCTGAAAGTAATGGAAATATGGGAAGTGTTGGATGCTGCTGATGATACAGACATTCAACCCTGTTAAACTAAATAATATCCAGATTTTTTAATGTTTCATAATATTCAATTTAAAAGTCATGCATATCTGGAGTTATCACGATAAAGGCTTTATAAATCATCCGAAGTAAGTGAATTATTCTTACAGGTTGCGCCTTGCCGTCTACTTGACAGATTCTTCTCCTTACGTAACACACAGCGACTGAAGCTAGGACTAGTATGAGGAGGAGAGCGCCGCCGACAGCTAATGCTATCAGCATAGCACTAGAACCAGCATTTAGGAACGATGCATCGCTGGCTGATGTCTCAGTAGACATGTCGCCACTTACCAGCGACTTGGGTGACTGAAAAACAAACACTATCTTAACTTTCTTCTCAGTTTCTTTTACATTTCTATCTTAATAAAAAAATGTCCAGCAACACATAACCAGGTATTAATACACGAGAATTCTTATAAATTAAGATTTTATGGACATTTTTGCTGCCTTAGTGGACGAAAGGTTACCACCAGGCCGCCACTGACGGACTGCCACGCAGAGGTTCCAGGTTGAATCCCGGGCCGGGAGAAATATTTGTATGGCCTACGTTTATTTCTCTCGTGAGTTTTGGTGTATAATAATTTGTGGTTGTCTATGTGTGTGTCCATGGCACCCGCGACACAGGGTATCCCTAGTGCGGGGGTATTATCAATTATGTACTATATATTAAACAAAAAATACATTTTGTTATCATTGTTACGTATATGTATGTTCGAAACCTTGAAGTTTCAGTTGGTATGACGTCGGCGAACGTTATCACCTATCATGAATATTTATCAGTTTTCATGGAAAAACACTGATTTCATTTTCCACCCCAGTACCATCGGGCACACATCTCTAAATCGATACGGCCATTGATTAAATAAAATTTCACCTATTGCAGAGATAGAACACGTCGTATTATTTTATTCCGTGTGTTGAAAATTAAAACATATTCTCTTTTAATAGTTTTGATTATTTACATTGAAACAAGTATAAAAGCCAAATATGTATTACCATAAAAAAATTGAAAGCTAAGTTCTCAGCTAAGTTAAAATTCCTTATTGTTTTGCTAAGCAGTAATGAGTGAATATCTAATATAAATTCAATCATAATACGGTTGTATATTATATTTATTATATTATACCATAAACACGAAAAGGAAAATGAACATACAAAATTCCACAATTTTCAACGGCAATTTTGCACTTTGGTAACAAAAATATTCATTATTTCTCACTGCAAGTTTTTTCTACTCATAAAGTATTTCTAAGAGTTAAAGGGCGAATTTGTAATAATGCCTACCCTGTGCAAGCAGGAAGATACATATATTATTATTGTTACTGTCTTACTGTGTTGGGTAAACTTCCAATGTGGTTGCACATGAAAACAGTGACTTGATCCGTATATTATTATTTAAAAATCCCTTTTTTTTCGCTCCGTTAATCTAATTACACTTTGTTGATACAAGTGTAACAAATTACCCTAATATTAGATTAGGAGATAAAAAAGCGTTAATGAAGATCGATGGACTCACTTGCGCGGTGGGTGCGGAGGGTATGTATCTGTCGGTGGAACCGTTGATAGTTCTCGGAGGTATGATGTTGTGTATAGGTCTGGGTGTTACTGGTACTGAGAAAACAGAAAAATTAAAAAATGGAATCTTCTGGACGTAATACGTAACAAATGAACAAAATTAGTGCAATTAATTTGATTTCAAACTATATATGGATATATCTTTAGTAGCTTAGTAGAGGTAATCTAGCACACAGCAGATATAGAGGTGCTTAAATATTTAACAAAAAAAGTCAAATTAACTTTTTGCATTCAAAATGCATTTAAAAATCTTGTTTACCTAGTTCAGCTGGAAAGAAAAACGTTGATTTTTTGGTGAGCATTATTGTGCAAGTAGAAATTTTATCATAATCCGTATAGGATAGCGAAAGTACATCTATCTGTTTAGTTTTTGAAGCCTCAACGTCTTAATAAATAAGCTTCGAAGCTTTTAAGGCACCTATTCCTTATGAAATGGTGTACGCGTTATAATCACAAGCGATTTGTCCAGCTTCTTTGTTATCATAATTAACGTGTTTCGGACAATAAATGACAGAAACAAATATGTATGTATGAATCAGAACAAATTAAAATAATTATTCTTAGTTCAACTTTACAAGAAAGACTAGTTTACAATGAGTATGTGCGGTTTACAAAGTAACAAATCAGATGCGAACAATGGACCTCAGAATCAATAGAATGTGGTTATGAGTGACGTTGAAAGGTGATAAATAATCGTAGTACCGGTACTCCGAGGACATTTGAAGTCGTCATCGGGCGGGAGTCCGTTAGAGGTACACAAGCAGTAATAGGTGGTATCGTTGTATGGCATGCAGGCAGCTTCCGCTCCGCAGGAGGGAAGCTCGCATCCTCCCTGTAGATATTTTACTGAAACACACAAGTAACCAATTTCAATTCAATACTATTTTTTTACAATACCACGTGACGGGACGAACAAGTCGTGCACCTAGTGGAAATAATAGTCCATAACAGTTGCAGTGCCGTTCAGAGCTTTAAATCGTAATGATCTGAGGGGCACTGCCACTGCATCCGTCACCTTGAGACATAAGTTGAAAAGACCCATGTGACTGGAGTTTCACCAGTACCCTTACTTACCCTTCAACATCGAAACGTTGTAATGTGAGCATTACTGCTTGGCGGCAGAAATAGGTACGGTGGCAGTATTTCCCAGACGAACTCTTTCATAAGGAGCTCTATTGGTACTAAAAGTAAGTATATGTATCTATATCTATAGTGTGGAAGGTGTGATTGAAGCAAAGTTGGTTTGTAATTTTGTACTGAATTTGTTTACATATTAAACTCTTAAGACGCGATTGGAAGGTGATTGCACTTCAGCTATTAATTTTCTGAATACCTGGTCAAAGGTATGTCGCTCCCAATATGCAAATGTTTCGTACATTTAATCACGACAAACTGCTCATGGCGAATAAATTCAAATACTTATAGGTATGTTATTTTTAAATAACTACTGATTTGGTTAACCACTAATAAAATAACAAGCAAAATCTCATATGTACGCAGTACCTATAAGTACTAGCTTACTTGTATGTGTATTTTGCTGTTCCTGTTCAGATCGTGCATCCTCTCTCGCCACTCTCGCCAGCTTTTCAGGGTGATTTCTCTGTAACAATAAATTATCACTAAATTACTTTGATAATTGTAGTATTATACCTATTACATAGCACCTATTCCAGTTGCCAATGAGCGTTAAATTTGATTGCTTGCCGAATAAATTTAACCCCATATTATAGAAACAATTTGCTCGTATTGTGCATATCTATGCATTTTGTGCTTCATAAAAAGTTTATCAGCCTGATATCTTTTTTAGAGAAATTTAATTAAAGAACTGATACAGTTTCCGCCAACTGGTAGTTAGTTAACTTTAAGCAAAATAAGAGAGCGGAATTAGCTATATTCTAAATATATGATTCGATGATGAGAAGAAATGCCTTATAGGAGTAATGAGTAGAGTATAGAAAAGAACATGCAGTGATGTACTCACTCGCAAATGGAGTCCTCGGATCATTAAACAAAGAAAATTCACGACCTGATAGGTTTATTATGAGTCTATTAGTTACATCGTGTTAGGTTAGGTTAGTACATACTTTCCGCCCTGAGTCGGCTTTTGCCGAATGTGGGGGAGCCGAGTGCCAACTGTCGACGCCTGTATACGGGGGTGGTGCGTTCGATGGCCATGTATGGAGCGCCCATATGGGCAAATAGCCTCACCGCTCAAGGCTCAAGACCCTGCTGCGGACCGCAGCGAGTCATAACGGTCAGGGTGTCGAGAGCATATCGCACCACCTCTTACGAGGCGGCATGCGTCATGGCAGGTACCCCACCATGGGATCTGGATGCAGAGGGGCTGTCAGCTTTCTATTGGCGGTCGGCAGAGCTGAGGTCCGAAGGGGAGGAGCCACTTCTGGAGCACATTAATCGATGGCGGATAAACATCCGACAGGACGTGTTCCGGAAGTGGCAAGAGAAGCTGGAGGAGCCGAGATCTGGCCACTGGACCATCGGAGCGATTCGACCAGTCCTGGCAAAATGGGCGAATCGATCCTGGGGAGGCATCTCCTATCACCTTGCGCAGGTTCTGACGGGGCACGGTTGCTTCGGCAAATACCTGTGCAGGGTGGGACGAGAACCGACGACCGTATGCCATCAGTGTGGCTGCGCCGAAGACACGGCTCAGCACACACTGCAGGCATGTCCGGCGTTCGACGAGCAGCGGTCAACCCTGACCGCAGTAGTGGGGCATGACCTATCCCTGTCGACCGTGGTGCGAGCCATGGTCGGCAGTGAGAGGGCGTGGAATGCGGTGGCCTCCTTCTGCACCGATGTATTGTCGCGGAAAGAGGCGGCGGAGCGGGAGCGAGAGGAAGACCCTTCCTCTCATCCTATGCGCCGCAAACGTTTAGGGCGCAGGCGGCTGGCCTATGCCCGCCAACTGCCGCCCTGACAGTGAACCCTGGGTGGCAAAACGGGGGCTTTGTCACTCGCTGGGCAAGGGTTCACGGGTTGGTTGGCATGCCAAGTATTCCCGACATGCCACTAACGACGGAGTGGAGAAAGTCTCCCAGAGGTGGGTCCGAAGTCGCGGACAACCGCAGGCGGGGCCGTGGATCGTAAACTACGTGGCCACAGCCCCGTCCCTTGCGGAGTGTGGGAATACCCGGGGGTTTTTAGTGAGTAGGAGTCTCACATAACCACCGCGCCTCCCCGTGACGCGGTGGTATCCATGACGGAATTTCCCCCGGAAAGAAAAAAAAAAAAAGGTTAGTACATACTTATGTACCAAGTAAGTTATAATATTATGGTTTAATATATTATATGATTTTTAATCCCAAAAGACTACGGTATAAGTGTATAAGTCATATTTAGCGTGTTTTGTATGTACTTTGTTACTACAAACAAGATAAAAGAAAAGCAGTAATTTCATGACAATTGTTGAAAAACGGAGCAGAAGAACGACGGGCCAGGTTTTGATATATGGTGATTTTTTTAAAAATATAATAACGCAATGCAACACACTCATAGCCCGCCCTGCTCTAGGGAAACCCTGTCCCGCGTGTCATGGGCACATACATAGACAAACACAAGTTACACCCAAAGTCACGAGAGAAATAAATGTAGCCCATACACATATTTCTCCCGACCTGGGCATCGAACCCAGGTAGACATGAGTATTAGTAACTATTAGAGCACTTTGTGAAAGAGTTTCTCCAAGGAAATACTGCTACCTTACCTATTTCTGCCGTCAAGCGGTAGTGTGAACATTATTGCGTTCCGGTTTTGAGGGCTAAGGGTGCTGTTGAAATTACTGGTACGTGGGAGTTGTCAACTCATGTCTTAAGGTGACGGGGGCAGTGGCGGTGCATCTCAGATTTTTGCGATCTAAAGTTTTGAGTGGAACTGCAACTACTGTGGACAGGCGTGTCGCTTACCATCAGGAGCACGATTTGTTCGTCCCATCACATGCTATCATAATAAAAGTGGACAAAGAAAAAGCTTTCCAGAGGACATAATGGCGTTTAGGTAGGTACTATTCCAACAAGAACCCCGCTCGTAAATCAAAGATATACCTTATTTGTGATGCGTCTTGTTACAGCAATTTGACAGTGGTCAATTTAAAATGATGTAAGAATATTTATTTATTTATTTATTCATTTTTAACATTTGAAACATAATAATAATGAGCAGCATGAAGAATAGGTAGGTAGTAGGTAATAAACACAGTAAGTAAATGTTACCACACCGTTCAACAAAATGGTATGTTACTTAATTTAACGAGTTGAGTAATTTTTACGTGCGCAGACGTAGTGTCTATTGGTAGATTCAATCCATACATAACATTATGTAGGTCCGTATTTGTACGTAGGGGTATCGAGCATTCTTGCAAATGTTTATTAAGCAAACCATTTAAATAAATTTCCAATGTTAATAGCGTTATGTAATTAGGATCTACTAATTACCCATTGAACTATATGCTTAGTTTAATTTGCAGTGATTTAATCACCGCACGTTTTTCTGCCGGTGTGTTATTATAGGAATACAAAATAGTGTCGCGACGGTTTTAGATTTATAGCTCTTTTGCACTCATGGTCTACTACCGCTCATAAGCGTTCATGAGTGCTTTATTGTATTGATATAAAAATAAAAGGCGAGTAGCGTTATCTGAAGCACGGTAGCATGCTTGGTTCGAGTTATTTTGGCTATGTTATCGGCTGAGTGGCGCTCTCCGACCGTCTGCCTTACGATAAATCATTTACATATCAATAAGTGAATTATTGTTATAAATTCATTGTACTGGGTATATGGTAGTAACAACATTTAATAGCGACCGTAATAATAACATTTGCGATACCGCGCACGTCTGTTTACGTTCAGAATCAGTTTTAAACTCGCAAAACTTATCCGAGAAAATAAACAATTACGTTTTCATTTCTTTGGGCGGTTATGTCGTATTCTTTGCAGAACTTTTAGTTTTTTAAGCGTTTAGTCATTGACGGTATACTTTCACAATGTGTAAATTGTATGTTCATTACATCTCTAAAGCGTGACACACAGAAAGCGGGTGCGAGTCGGGCGCGGGTCTGGTCGGCTCCGTGGCGGGTCTAATTCCGTGTATTTATTGGACGACAACACACCGAGGGCGGGCGCGTGACGGGCACACGCGTCCATATAAATACACGGAATTAGACCCGGCGCGGCCCCGACCCGACCCGCGACTGACCCGCACACGATCTCTGTATGTTTCACGCTTAAAGTTCTTTAAATAATTGTTGTTTCGATAATTTTGACCATTACCAGTTCGTACTAGACTGATTGCAACATTTTTTTCCAATGTTTATTTTTGAAGGAATTAAAAACTTCTTGAAAAAGTTTCTATTTACATTTTTGAAAATAAATATTTTAGATAACAATGCAGTGAATAGGTATTATCCTCCATCCCGTTGAAGATAGTTTAATTTAGATTTATTTTTAGAAATCAAGATTTTTTTACAGTTTACATATGAAGATTTTTGTTAATCGATAGGAACAGTGAAATAAAAAATAATTACAATTTTGAAAACATGGAAAAGGATGTGCAAGCTGCCAACAAAACCTTTAAAAGAATGTTAAATTCGAAATTCGAAAGGGTTGGAATAGTCCTTATTTTGTTTACGTACATTATCTTAATGATTATTTCTTGTGGTTCGAACAACGTTCCATGACCCGAGAGAAATATAAATATTAGTGTACATTTGGCCATGCAAACGGGATCAAGTGTGTGTTTATCAAAATATAAACTATAAAATATTGTTTTCTTGTTTTATGATTATTATAGTTTATGCTTAAATACTTATTAAATTGGAAATGAATGGCGTATATTTGTCACGCTATGGCCATGAGTTCTGGGCAGACCCCGAAACATGGATTTGTTTAGAAATATCTATAAAAATAAATATACGCGATTTAGAACCGAAAAAATAATCTTATTACATATTTTAAATGCTTTTCGAAAAAAGATCCTTTACATTTTACTACTTCTCTATTTGATTTGGATACTTTTTTGAATAATTGAATTACGTACCCAAATCACCCAAATTTACAGTTACAGAAGAGCTACACTCACTAAAAACAAATATTTTCGAGTTAGTACATTTCCATTTTTCAGTAATTTAAATTCAATAACAAGTTTCAATAATTGTTGCAACTTATAGTTCTTTTTTTATGATACCAAGTGCCGAGACAAACAAGTCGTGCACCTGGTGTTAAGCGACACGCCTGTCCATAGCACTTGCAGTGCCACTCAGAGCTTTAAGTCGTAAAGATCTGAGAAACACTGCCACTGCGGTCGTCACCCAGAGACACAGTTGACAAGTCCCATGTGCCTGTAATTTCCCCAGGACCCTACTCTTCAAAACCGGAACGCAGTAATGCTGGTTAACGTTAAATTCGTAATAGCTTGGTTATGTCAGTAGTCATTGTCAGCTTTGAAGCCTTAACCGCCTATGTAGTGCTGTGAAAATACCTAAGGACTACAATGGAATGCTAGCAACTGTTCTATGTAACCACACATAACCAGGTACTCATACAGTTACGTTATTACTTTACGATTTGTAGTATGGAAGGATG